CCCGACCTCGTCCACGACGCTCGCGCCCCCCCCCACCCCCCCCCACCCCCCACCACACACACACACGCAAACACACACACACACAAATGTGTCACAGGAACTGGCATCGCATTCGATGTCCATCCAACAGCATTTGCCATCCACATCCCACATGCTCCTTCTACCAGCATAGCAGCCACAAACGGTTCTTCGCAGGCTCAACGCGTGAGCAGGGGGATGTCCAGGGCATGGAGAGAACCATAACTATGTCTCCCTGTCTCCAGGGCAGTGTCCACCTATTGGACCATGCAGACTGGAACATTTCCCAACTGATTTACACTTCCCATTCATACCTCTCTCATGCGCCCTCGCAGATACAAAGCATCCTTCAACAGGCCAGTGTCGAGGTGAAGGCTGGCACATTTGTGCCCGCCACGTCCTTTCCCCACATCTGCGGTGCGGTTTGGAGGGAACAGAGCGTTGGCCCAGCCATCGACGAGGAGGCATGGGCACGTCCTTAGACCAGAGCAGTGTATGTGACCACCACAAATCTCCTTGCACTTATCTCCCTCGGTCGAAAAGTACCATTGAAACACGTTGGAATGTTCCAATAACATCAAAGAACGATGATCCTCCTGGTATTTGTGTAGCGTGCTGCACTGAGTTGTTGTACCCCTCCCTCATGCTTCTTCAGCATTGCCAATCTACGTGAGAGCATCGTGATCCCTCGTGGCATGGAGGCGACAGGGTCGAAATGCCAGGACTCGATTGGGACTTTGCATTTGTGCAAGGATTCCTCATTTTGATCTGCGAGGGACAGCAGAGCTCAAGGAGATCCTCCGCCAAATTGGTAGACGCACACACACCTTACTGTCTTGACACCGGGCTCATTCCCAGAGATGGAGAAAGTTGTGAGGTCAAGGCCTTGCTGCCAACAACCTTGAATGCCTCGCCTGATCAGTCCCTTCCTGAGCGTCAGCTCCGATGCCAATGCCAGGTTCTCGAGTCCAGCAAGAGTCATTGTGCATATCTCTGCTTCCTACCAGACATCCCTGTGCTATGCACCGTGCGCGTACCTGCCATCCCCTTCCGCAATGCAGTTCACTATAGACCTTCTGTGCACCGACCAACAACTCACATTCGAGTTCCCCTGATGGCAAATCTGGCATGTCCATGCCTAGAATTGGCGCTGGCCTGGTACACCTGTCTGAAGCTGGAGGTTCTACTCCCAGTGTGGCAGGCTTACAGCTTTGAAAGTTCATCTTCAATCAAGGACGCGAGAGCCACGACCCCTGGTTCCTTGCAAAACGCTACCTTGTCCAGTTTCAGGCGCATGGCTGCCCGAGCTGAAGTCTCTCCTATGCATGCCACGGGGATCCTTTGTGCTGTCTCTTGTCCAATCAACTCCACCCAGCTCCTGCGATGGCATGAGTAAGTAAGCTGGGGACGATGATCGACGCAGCTTGCTAATTCTATCTGAACTACAGACGCATGCAGAGGGTGGAAAGCGTCCTTTCTATGGGACTCCCATTGTCACCGTACCTTATCGCCGATGGCGAGGCAATGGCCACCAGTGCTGCTTGTTGAGCCTGGTGAAGGCCCTCCTCCGTCAACTGGTCCACAGGGAGAGTGTCGTAGGTGTTGAGTCGGGTCACAGAGAATCCTCGCGCCTCAAGGAGGGATTGCAGCGTTCCTGCTGCCCGCACGCTGGCAGGGTAGAGCACACGAGCAGACGTGTTGGTTTGGTGCGGTAGCTCGGCTCCAAAGTGCTCTGCATTTGCCTGGGAAGAACACGAGAGGGTAATGCATGTTAGCTCTCCAGGGAGGTGTAGTGGGGAATGGCAAGCCCAGCTGCTGCCTTCGAGTCAGCTGTGTCCATGGGGCCCTCTGCCCTCAGACCTGCCCTTACCACGGATGGAACAAAAGAGGGTGCGCAAGCGGAGTCCGTAGCTCGAGCCAGTGCACGAGCTGTGCCATCGCCCACGACAGCGACGGGAATCGAGGGCTTTCCTGCTTCCAGCCACGCGGTTGCATAGACTGCTGCAGACTCTGGCGATGTCAGGCAGACCCAATCAAAGGCGCTATCTTGCAGCTTTTCCCGCAGCAGACAGCTGTGAGGATGAGGAGGTGGAGAGATGCATCCCGTGGGTTCAATCCACAGAGCACCACAATCACAGCTGCCCACACTGATTCCAAGTGTGAGTTTTCAAAGCAGTGGACACACCTGTCAGGGCCCTTGGCAGTCTCTACCATGGGCAATATAAGAGTCTCAATGTTCTTTGACTTGAGCAATGACTCCAGTTCCTCATTCTTGCCGTGCTCGCGCGTCAGCACCACAGGTCCCTTCGAGCATGAGACCGTAGCCCACCGCATGCACCGGATCCGTCCTGTAAGGGGGGCATCGGGAAGACTGAAAAGGTATTGCAACAAGATATATCTGGACTGGGATCGTTCGTGGCAGACCTAAATCTCAACTGGTTGTGAAAGCTGGCGTGCCAATCCGTCGGTGATCGCAGGATCGGATGGCGTGGCGTTGGCCAACGTCGCCAAAGGGCACCCCCGAGAATAAAGTTGCGCCCATTCTTCAAAATGTAGCTACAAAGTCAATCAATGACTCAACGCGATCGAAGAGTTGGAAGTAGAAATGTCTGTATGCTGGATGCCTGATCAAGGGGTGCCATTCCCGGCACACCACCATGACGATTCCCAAGCAAGAAATCGCGATCAGCTATCTGTCGACAAATCCATCCCCCTCCATGCTTGCGGTCGGGCAAGCAATTCCTCCCTTATCTCTGACGTTACAGGCCAGGAGATAAGCCCCATTCAGCCCGCTTTGCATGCTCTAGGCATAGTCAAATGTGGATGCAAAGGCAACGCAGGATGCAGATGGAGGGGTGGCTGCCATCACCCATGCTCCCCTGATTTCCTGTCGACCTGTTTCTTGCCCCCATCAAGCACATTGATCGACCCTAGCGCCTAGTCCATGCCACCTGCCCGGCTGTGAAGGGTCAAACCGGGAAAAAATTATAGCCAATTTAAAGGGAAGGTCTCAACATACAGGGGGAAACACAATCTCCTTGCATAGAAGAGGGGTTGTTTCTGCAGGGCAGTAGGGGCACTTGAAGGATCTGGTCATGGATTTTGCAATCTTGAGTATGCTCTGTTTGCACATGCAGTGACCACATGGCAGGATGACGGGTGGGTTCTCAGGTGTGCTCTGCAAGAATGGGAAATATGGGGTACAAGTGAGGTATGCTCGTTGTGTATCTCAAAGCATTCTAGACCACAAGGAAAACGACAGATGCTCTGGGCAGCAGGGACTCATCCCATTTCACTCATACAGTACGACAACACCTGCTTTCTCGCACCTGCTCCCGCGAAACAGGGCAGGCAAATATAGAGTTGAAGGTGAATTCCCTGCCCAGTGGAATATCAACTGGCAGGTGCGGCCCACTCCCGTCATCCGCGAGGCCCTGCTGCATCGGCATGACATTGGCGAGCTTGAGAATTGTGGGCAGCGAAGCTGCACCCGCGGCCACTGTTACAAGGAGGGGACTGTCTTGTGCCTGGCGAAGATTGACGGCAGGAGGAGGGGGAGAAATCAATGATTAGGGGGGCGTGGAAAGCAGTGCACATCGCATCAGACAAGCCAATTTGCTGCTCACCGACCACGCCAAGGTCTCCAAAGCATCCCCAGCAACACAGAGTAACGCGGCGCCAAGTAGCCATCGCACAACCTCCCACTAACCTGCCCCAGGAGCGCACACGACTGCGACACAAAATCTGCGGCAAGACTGTCCCACACCTCATCGCCCAAGAGGTTGGTGTATGGACTCTGGGTGGTCGGGCTGTGTGCAAAGCACAGTGCTCCCATGAGCTGCTGGATGCTGGTAAGCTCAGTTTGCTGAAAGCCCTGTAGATGCTGGCGTGCATACTGCAAGGCCGCCAAACGTCCTGGGGGATGGCACCACATCCTGGGTGTGACGGTGCACGATCTCAGAAAACACCCCCAGAGCAGACCCTGCCCAACATCAGCGACGTCAGATGTCTGTTGCTGTCTCACAGCGAATGGACAAGGATCTTGCCCACTACAATTGCGCACCTTCACTGCTCAAGATTTGGAGAAAGGCAACCTTTCTGACATGAAATTCAAAGGAGCCCAGTGTCCCACTGGTTTCCTCTAGCCGAGATCGGTTGGTCTCGACCCACGCCAGTGCAGCATCGAGATTCTTGCTGTGGATCTGGGGAGTGCATGGATGGGCTATGAGCGGAAATCCCGCTCTGGCATCACCCACGAGAGCTCACGTTTCCTGCAGTAAAGGACCGCCGTCTCACCTGCTGCAGCACAGCATGCATGGCCTCATATGGCTGTCGCAGGGCATGTGCATGCGACAAGCCTGTCTCGGCTGCCAAGGTGGATGCCACCTCAAACTGGCCCTCATGGTGTAGATGCTCGAGAATTGCCTGCAAGCCGGTGACAGGAGGACTTTAGAAGCCCGTCCTCATTCAAAGGAATGTGTCTGGCATGTTTGTCACATTGCACACCTGGTTGAGCAGATTTGTGTCTGAAGGCTGACCGCCCCAAGCTTTCGAGATGTCTGAAGTGAAGGTCTTGTCAATTGTCTGCAACAGGGAGCTTCATCGGGGTGGTTTCCATTGACAGCGGAGACGTTGCTATGCACAGGTCTCTGGACTCTGCAGAATGGCACAACCACCCGCCGTACCCACCTTGCCAAGGGTCCCTACTGCTTTATGGAGGTTCTTGGTTCCAGATGCCAGTTTGGCGTCCACCTTCAATAGGCTCAACGCCTTCGCCGTTGCTCCGACAACCTCGCCATCGGGGCTGCCACCACCGAGTATGGCACGAGCATGCTGCACCTCTTCCAGGCACTTGCCCACGATCTCCATAGCCTGTTTACTGCACGTCTCCTGGGCGATGACAGCCCGCTCGACGTCCTCGAGGAGTTCGGCAAATGGGTCCATCGTCCCTTCACTTAGGCACAGTGGTGCAGGTAGAAGGCTCTCCGGCAGCCATCCTCTTATGAATCATGCAAAGAGCTTGCAGAGAGACAGAGGAGTAGAAAGATAGCATCACCGATGGAGATCATGATAGACTGTCTGCTGTGCGATTATTTCTGCCATTATCTCGGGTACGTATCGGAGCCCGGGCTCCATCCGGAGGAAAGCAATGCCTGGTCGGGGAGGTCAGAAAGGCACAACTTTTACTGCCTCTCCAGGAGTACACTCTAGGCGACCCGAACTCGTGAGACGGCAGGTTCTCGTCAAGTAGCACGCTGTTAGACTAGTCATACAGGCCTCAAAATCCCTACATTGCGTGAGAGCTCCCTACTCTAGACTAGTCATGGCAAAACCAGGGCTCAAACTCATGAACTTACAGTGTTGCCGGCAGTCTCCGCAAGATCAACTACGATGACTTGGCAATACTGGTGAGTGGACTCAACAGTGTCGGGAATGCCGATGTAGACACCATCTCTTCCACCGGTAAGTAAAGTCTGAATGACCTACATTCACACATTTTGCACCTGGGTTCCATGATGGAGTATCTATGGCCACGCACCCCAAACTTGCCGATGAAATGGGGCTGAACACCCTCCTTATCCTCGACAAGGTAATGGCATCTGTCACTTCTGGGGTTCGGTGTGTGCAAGAACAAGAGCTTCCCGGACTGCATGGCAAGAATAACAGGGGCATGCCGTACACTGTCCCTGTATGCCTACACTGGAACACTCCCCAGATCGGCTCGTATTTCCACCGAGACGTCGCGTGAACCGCACCACGATCCTCAATGGAAATTACATGAGCAGCATTAACATCTCCCGCTGAGCATGTGAGCAGGCTGTGGGTAACGCTGGTACGATAGAGTAGATATAACCGCGTGTCTGATCTTACGTACTCCTGAAACGTTGACATCAGAAAACCACAGGAACTGACATCTTCTCAACATACCGCCCCTCCCCTAGGACAAGTCCTTGCAGCAAGGCAACAATATCTCAAGCGGCTGTTTCGCAGAAAACATCCTCACATTCCCCCCTTGTAATTGTGGAAGATTTTGACGGAGAACCTCTATAGTAGGGCAGGTGGCAATGTAATGGAACATTGAAAGCTTATAGCCCTCCTTCCAGTAATCGTAGCAGATCATGGGACAGCTTGGAATACTCCTGGACAGTTGCAAATCACACAATCTTATTAAGGCAGTGCAAAGTATCCCAATGTCACGAGTAGATAAAGCTGAGCATGTGCCGATCTCCCCTCATCCAGGGCCGTCAAATGTAAATTGAGGACAAGCTGGAGCCACGCCCAGAACCATTAATTCATCGAAGAGGGTCGCGAGAGCAGAATCACATGCAGCAACACAAATCTCTGTTAGATATGGGGCAAGGGAGGTTCACACACAAGCAAGTTCAAGATTACAACTTTCTGCATCTAGATAAGCAGCTACTCAGGCTTAGATGCCAAACCGCATGGGCTATATATTACCTTGAATATTCATTCTTCTTCAGGACAGTGCGACTGCTCGAGACCATCCCTGCAAGATACTTGCGGAGGGATTGCTTGCGGTGGCGAAAAACAGAGAGAATACTCTTAGCATCTGGCATGATATGGTACCTACTTCCAGGAACTGCCCACCAAAATCTCATACAAGTCCACCCTGGAATGCCAATTTGTGATCTTGCCTGCAGCAAGGGCAGGGGTTACCATGTTTGTTAATCCTTGTACATGTCCTCTTCTTGCAACACTGTTGGGGACCCTGAGCATGGAGTGCATGCTAGCGATCACAGTAGCTTGCCGATCTTGGTTGCGTGTAAATATAAACTAGCAAGTAGCGTACCTGGGTCTCTAGATGAAACTTAGATGCGGTTGGGGGTATCATTCAAAGGAGGAAAACATGCTGAGTTGACTTGTGGCGAAGGGATAGCCTCTGAGAGGGACAGTAAATGAATCTGGTAATTCAGCGTACATCCGTCTGTGACACATGACTCCATCGGTCAGATATGGCGTCCTTTTGTTGTTGCATTCACCTCTATCGTCAGCTTAGCCGTATGGTCCACGACGATGCTCGCTTGATGAGCCATCGGACTGTTCCTGTTTCTTGCACCAGTTTGGTCAATCTTCACCGGATAATGGATCTAAAAGGACCGGCAATTTACCGAGCCGTGGAATTACCCGGCGATTCGGGTGGTATCCGGCCTTTCTAAATTCCCGTGCGACTCACACATCTCAGGCTGCCAATTGCAATTAGTAGCGTTCTGGGGGAGGCAATCTACCAGACGCAGCCATCTCTGAACGTTAAGTAGGGTAAGGAGTCCCATAGAGACTCCATGCTCGCAGATTCACAGCTTTTGTTCGGCCATCGTTACCCCGAACATAGTACAGTGGAGTCCTTGTAATTCTCTCAAGCAAGCCGCTGGGTTGTGCATGAGAGCTGTCTGAGCCGGCTTGCGTCACCACTTTTACTTACAGTAAGGTCCTATCTTGTATTGACGCAGAGTGCACTCCCGGCAAATTTTCTACGCGATACGATATACTGTGACTACTTGTAACGCGGAGTTCGGTCAGGGTGTAATGCGATGTAGTGATTGCCCCTTTCATAGGATGCGCTTTCTTACCAATCTCAAACATGCAGGAAGTTTGATCCTCCGCCTACTGCAGTCATGCTATGTCTCATATACAACTGCTCATAGGTGACTCAAGTAGACTAGTCCAGGATGTACTCGACGGCATTTGTAATGCAAGATAAATAGTCAGGGCACAAGCAGAGGGATGCCAACACTTCCGCTCGAGAAATTCATGTGGGTAGGGTATGCAGCTAAACAGTAATTGTCCACTGCCGGTCTATGCAGCCACGCAATGGAGCTCTCTGGATGAATCGGATGCTATCTCGGGTACGACAGCCGATACCTGCTTGCCAACATCCTAGGCTGTCGAAACAAGATATCGAAAAAACATCCGGGTGAAGAAATGCGCTGTTGTAAACAACAACGACGCACGGGGTGTATAAGGAGGAGACTGAGGGGGAAAACAAGTCAGACGCTCAAATCGTTTGTGCTCTGTATAATCTGAAGCCTGACCGCCCTTTGTATGATGTGTTGCAACTTGACAGCATTCCAGCTCCCTCATCTTATCGTTGCGTTCAACAGATGTATCATTGCTTGCAAAGTCTCCAAATTCTTTTAGAAAAGCCCTCACTTCGTTTTACAGAATAAGGCAAGCTTTCTTGCGACGAAGCGTTTACGGAGTCAGCAGCCTGAAGCTTTCTTGACACATTTCAGGGCCGGTAAATTGCGCACCAGACGCAGTGTAAATGAAAGCGGAGCTGGCAGTTAACAGCAACATTCTGTGGGTTCCTACATACACTGATGACAGTGGTAATCTGAGAGCCTCCTACAAATATTCCTACTTGCCTAATCGATCCTGACTGTCAGGCCAATTAGACACACAAGGGACTGCATGACGTTCCCTCATCATCAGATATAATCATAGATGGCGCAAGCCTTTTGGGATGTCCGCCCCTGCATTCTACCTTGAACCTGTCGAGGGAGATACAACACATGAAATCAGAATATCATCCAGCATTTCTTGTTGAGGTTTATCTAGTCGCATCAGAGTTAGCATGTACGATCCGTTTGCTTTTTATTTACAGCCATCTCATCCAACCTCGCACCCGCCTTGCTTTATCATAGTGAATCATATCTGGCTGTCAGCTAGGCGTTCCAGGCCACTTGTTGCCATCCACGATTCTATAACTAGGAGATGACCAAGCCTGCGTGACACCCTGTGTTTAGTGCTTCTTGTGCTCTCAGTTGCTCGAGACAAGTTCTACAATCCCGAAGATGCCTGAAGAGGCAGATTATTCCGCACAGCTTTAAGAAGCATGCTCGATCATGACCAATCTATATGTCGAGTATCGACAGCATTGTTTCCATGCCATGCGTGCGCATTGCTTCATGCGTAAGACCCACTCATGTCTGCACGCTCACGACCTTAATCTTGGCATCCGAGCATAGGCACCGCATTCAGAGAGAGCACCACCTCATCGCGATCTACGCTATGATGTGGAGATGGGCCATGGAGGTAGCAAGACAGATCAAAATACATCGCGTTGTGCTCGTTCCAGTCAGATATTCATATATATACTCCATTCACAGCACGACGACTGCTCTCTGGCAAAATCCCAGATATGGCAATGGAGATTGTACCAACGTGACACTAAGGATGGTGTTTGACGTGGTAAGGCCATTTGTTTCTGATCAGATCGCTCTTTGACAGACTAAGGATGCGAATGGACTGTTGTGCTCGTCTTCTGTCGCCAGCATTCCAAGCGGCTTGCAGGATGATTGATTGCAAGCCAACCCGATGATCGCTGTGGCACTGTTCATGGATGGTATAGCAGAGCATGCCAAGATTAGCAAAGGGGTACACCGTGCCCCTGTACCGTAATTTATACGATCTCTAAACATTTTCCCGTCTGAATTCCTATTGTTCTCATGTACAAGTTGCCCCAGAACGGCCCTGTACAATGAGTTAGTCAGTCACAGATACAGAGATGCTGCAAAAACAATGTCGCGCTTGATACTTTCGATGGCCTTGTCACACTTCGCTGCGAGTTCAAGCTCCCCAATTGTTCGGAGGGCGTTACCCAACTGTCGAAGCAGTTCTTCAAGGCGCCGAATGGCCCGAACAATGGAACCCTGCAGTGAACAGAGACAGATGGTTTGAGCACAGCAGAGCTACTGGTACATTGAAACCTAACACCAGGAATCTCGCCCTGTTATACTGTCGACTCGCGTTTGCACGTTCTGCTCAGACCCACCTCAAGGATACCACTGGATTTCAAAATGTCCACAAAGCGCGCGCCCTGTGCCCAGGCTCCAACGGTGTCCATGAGCGAGGGGCTGAAGGATTCCACATACTCGTCCATGTCCATGGGCATCTGGCAATCATTTGCCACCTTGCAGATGCGCCTGTGGTAAAGATGTCAGAAGTTCTGAGCACTGAATTTGCACTCGTCAGTATCTATTCGAACTCTCGCCTTACCTTGCCATGTCTCTCACTGCAGCAAATGGAGCTTCCAGCCCTTGTGGAACCTTGCTCTTGCTCTGTGTGTGGATAGGCGAGATCTTTATAGTAGGCAGCTACACACTCGGCTCGTGGAATATCCTAAATCAGCCCCAGCACCTACCTCTGAGCGATCCTGCCAGACAAAACACGACAGGATCGCGCAGAGCTGAGGAGTGCTCAGCTCCTTGAAGAAGCCGCTGAATACCAGCTCTGTTAGTACCAGCTCATCCCCTGTACTGATCTCAGATGCAACGCGACCCTGCAGCGCATTGTGTGATCGTTTCCTTTGGTCCAGAGGGTGGTATGGTCAGCCAAGCGTTATTTGCCGAACCTCCGCAGCACTGGCTGTCAGCTGGGTCCCATTGAAACCTTCATCTCCGAATTCTAAACTTCCGTACCTTGAGAGTCACCACACCCTCTTTGCTGATAAATTCCAGGCGTTTAAGTATCCTCTTCCGCTGCTTGAGCTCATCCAGCATGACCAGACTTTGGGCTCCCTTAATCTCCTTCCGGAGGGCTTTCATTTCAGCAAGGCATGCCTGCACGGACGAAGCGACAATTTCTAGCAGCTGCGATACTGTCCTGGTAAATCAGTTCTCCTGGCACATACCTGTTTTTGCTTGTACGGTTCCAGGATGGTGGCAAGTGTGCTGCTCCCACTCAGAGGATTCTTTGAGAGCAAGTGCTCTACATGCTCCAGCTTCCTCTCTAATTTCCTATACACATCCTCCTGCAAGCCCAGATACGTGGATGTTGCTTAGATCGATCATCACGGTGCCTTGTCGGGTATACCAGCAAGCATGCCGGCGATCACCTTGACATTGATGTCCTTCACGGGATCTAGGAGAGGTGCGCTGCCCTTAAATCGCCGCTCCACTTCCACAAGGGCCTGCAACCGTCACGGCGAAAGAATCAGTGTGCAGTCGATATAATAGAGCAAGTCTGGGATGGGATAGCATTCACACGTGCCTTGATCGCGTTTTGTCGGCTCTGCACCGATCGGAGGTCTTGGGGAATGTACACCCTGAGCGAGCTTATGGCTGCTATTTCTCCCAATGTCACTGCCATTATGAGTGCTTCCCCGTCCGAGTTCGCGGGGATGGGGATTGGCCGCCTGCAGATCGGTGCGCAATAGCAGAGTGTCAACAGGCGAGGAATGCGAAACTCTATTATCAGGTTGGGCAGGCAGCATTAACCGACTATACTCGACATCCACCTTCTCATGTTAGACTTACCGATGAGATTGCTGGGCGCTGACTTTCCTGATGTTGACCAGAATGTCTATAAGGAACTCCTTGTCCTTTGATCTGGGCTTCTCGTCGTCCTTGCCCCGCTTGCTCTTGCTCAGCGCCTTCTGGAAGTTAATGATGGCGCCCCAAACAGGTGCATGTGTGGGACCTTCAGCTGAGCCATCGGTCTCGTCGGTCGCTTCCGCAGCCAAAGATATCTGCACAAGTCTGCCGGGTTGCAAGAATGGTAGGGCGTATTTCGGCTGGTACAGCAAGCTTCGCATCTGTTGCTGAAAAGCTACCAATTGATCAGTGAGCATGAGATACTCTTCGATGCTATGCTCGTCCGGGATCTTGAAGCTTTCGTGTTCCCCCTGCAGGAAAGGGAGATGGATGAGCTTATGGGTACGTTGCACTCGACCGGCAAAGCATGCCTTCGACATGATAAAGAGAATCCCGGCCCACCTCTAGTCGCCTGAGCTTCTGCTGCAAGGCAGGCAGCAGCCTCTCCGTCTGGAATTGCCGGTAACTGCGGTGCATAAGCTCCTCAGGCTCCACACCTTCCACCCTCATCAGGTTCAGCAGCATATTATACTCGAGGTGAAACTCTGCACAGCACCGGGGAGGGTTGGGATCAGCTTCCTGTCCGTAATGAGTGTTAAAGAAGACTTCTCACGTTTCATCACTCACCTGAATATAACGTGTCAGCAGCACCCTTCAGCATCTGCTTGGCAACGCTAGGCTCCATCCTTGCGTCCAGCATCATCACCACCAAACCTTCAGGTGAGGTGGAATCAGATGTGGGACGTGGCTCCGCCCAGTGCACCAGATGGGTTGACTCATATGCGAGGGTAAGGAGGAGTAGTGACAGGCCACTCACCCTTGTCATCTAATCCGCGCCGCCCAGCTCTGCCGCTCATCTGGATGTACTCTCCACTAGATACCCAGCGGAAGCTGCCACCGTCGAACTTTCGGACGTGAGTGAAGCAAACCGTCTTGGCAGGCATGTTCAGCCCGGTGGAAAACGTCTCGGTTGCAAAGAGGGCCTGCAGAGTAAGCGTAGAGAGTACTGTGGAGTGCACAAAATATTAGGCGGGGTTAAGGTATGACTGAAACAGCTGCCTTTCCGGGCAATTAGGTTCCACCTTGATCAGGCCTTCCTGGAACAGAATCTCGACCATCTCCTTTAGAATTGGGAGCAGCCCTGCACCGAGAAGCGACCGAGGATCAGAACATGGAGGGCTTACATCTTCCATTACGATTATTCCACCTGCATCGATTTCACCTGAATGGTGGACGCCAAAGCCTCTTTGGAGCATGGGGAGTAGGTTACGTATTTGTGGCAGTTTCTGGTCCTCTATTGATAGGACGTCAATGGCACTGCAGAGTGGTAATCGGCGGAGCACGACTGAAGTTCATGGCACCGCTGAGGCTGAGTCCAACATGCACCTGAGCCTCCGTCTGCTATTGGACCCCATTGGTCCTCACACCTCGTGAAGACAGCTTCGATCATCTGCTTCTCCTCAGCCGTGTTCAGGTCCATCGCAACCATTTGCATGGCCAGGCTTTCACATTCCTTCTTGCTGAAGCTGAAAATGATTATCTGCGCTTCCAATGTGCGAGGACAGCTCAGCGTCCTGAATCCAGAGTCCATGGTCAGAGCAACATGGTCCCCAAGCCAGGAGCAAGGTGTGATTAACTGCCTTACCGGATCGAAGTTTTTCTCCATCACCATCTTGACAAGCTTGGCCACGTCAGACTTTTCCTTTCCATCTCCTATCACGAGGGTGGGATCGCCTCCGCCTGCACCCTTCTTCTGCCTCTGCAATCGTGATTAAGCAAGGGAGAGTCGGGGCGGTGAGATAGGAGGCTCGCTGTCTCTCCGTCCTCTACCCAGACTATCCCACACACCTTGGAGGCCGAAACAGAGTCGCCCGTGACGTCATTGACGACTGCAACAGCTTTGCCAAAGTTATCCTCCCTGTCATCAAATTCGCAAGGGTCAGGGTCAGACAAGCACCGTCCTTGCCACGCCGTGCAGCAGACAAGGCAATCACTGGATGAGATGTCGGATACGGTTCATGTACCAGCTCACCTGAAGTTACCCCTTGAGTCGACCACCATGTACAGGCCATCGCCCCCCGCCGGAAAGACGTAGTGCTCCAGGGGTGTGGGCCTGTACTCGGTGTACACGACGTGGCAAGGCGACCTGGAGGGGTGGTGAAGGGTGTGGCTTACCAAGAGGAGCAGCGGTGACAGGCGCACCACCCTTTCACACTTGGCCCGCCACATACTCGTGTATCTTGGCAATCCACTCGGCAAACTCCCTCGCATTGGGAATGGTAGCCGACAGGAAGGCAAATCGAGCACATCTTGGGGCCAGGATGATGCTTTCTTCCTGCAAGGATTTGTAGGTGTAATGAATTGGGCATCCATGACATCTTACCCGGGGTCCATGCGCCCATGTCGTACCAATAACTCAACACGAATAGTAGCCTTACCCAAACAACTCCTCGCTCCTTGTCTCTCAGGTAGTGGATCTCATCGTACACCAAGAGCTGGACCTCCCTCACCACCTAGGAGGGATGAGGCACTACGAAAGCTGAGCACACCATTTACCAGATTTCTGGCTCTCAGTAAGCCAACCTCATGTCGGTACCCGATCCCCTGCCACTTCAGCCATTCTGCCTTGCCTCAGATCCGCGATAGAGCATGCTCCGAAGAATCTCGGTGGTCATCACGAGGCAGCTGGCATTTGGGTTGATGGTGACATCTCCAGTCATCAGTCCAACATCTCCAAACTCTTGCTGCAGCTCCCGGTACTTTTGGTTGCTCAAGGCTTTCAGCGGAGAGGTGTAGATGACACGCTGCTTGTCTCTGATTGTGTGACAGGGAGGAAGCAGTAAGACATGCATGGGGTGAACATCGGAGCCTACCCCAGACGGGGATCCACAGCAAGGAGCCCACTGCCACGTGTCGATGGGCGCACCTGAGTGCCATTGCAAAGGCATACTCTGCGATAACGGTCTTCCCTGCTGAGGTATGAGCAGCCACAAGGACAGAGTGTCCTGCTTCCAGGCAGTTGATTGCCGTTTGCTGGAAGGGATCCAGGGTGAAGGGGTACTGCCGAGCCATTGGCTTAGAAGAGTGAGGAGGGGGCAAGAGGCTTCCATGGCTTCCTGTCATGTTTGAGAAGTCGGGGGACGCTCTAGATGAGAAATGCTCAACTGCAGTTTGGCATGCTCCACTCCGCCGTCGACCACTTCCTGGAAACCCACCTTGCGGCCAGGCTACCTCGTGAGTACAGGACTTCCCACTCATCTCGACAACATTTATAGGAGTTGTGCAGTCGGTCCCGGCTTCCTCCATCGCCAGAAGCGGTAATTTAGTGGTGCAGCGCCTCGGTTATGCGACCCAGTGTGCGGAGTACGAGTTGGCGCAGGAAATGGGACACATTTGCTTCCGTCCGATTCTCGCTTCTGGTTCCGTCCTTGTTGGTGAGAGACTTACCGACCTAGTGGCTTGCAGTATGCAGGGCTCCAGGGCAGACGTCGCTTGCATGCTGTGGCGCCCTCCTCCTGGCGCGCTCCGGAAGGAAATCTCCAACCTCGCATGCCCAGCCCGAGGGTGACAGATGACACCCGCGGAGGCGATTCGTTTCCGGCTACTCTTGATCAGTGCTCCTTGACAAGCTGCGTGAACCTCATTCCCGGCACCGCTCGTCGCTGTTCTGCCGGGCGACTGGCCTGAGCGTCAGCTTTTTAGTAAAGGTCGCGACTCGCCCAGCCGGCCCGTGCATGATCTAGAGCAAGGAGCAGCGATGGCCAAGAGTGTCACCAGCTTGGCTGTGGGCGCGGGGGCTGCAACCGCGTACCTCCGCCCCGACCTGGTCGCTGGCGCTGCCAGGGATATGGCCTTCGGGTCGTTTCCCAGTTTTTCGACCGTCTCCGGCAGTAATGCAGCTTTCGCCGAGACGGAAGCCTTAAAGGCGATGGTGAGTCTGGCTTCGTCGAGCCGGAACACTCGCGGTGAAGGCGTGGTGGACGGGGCTGCTGTTCCTGTGTCGCTGACGCTGCCCCTCCCTGCACAGGTTGAACAGCTCTCCAGAGACCTGAAATCTCATCAGCAGCGTGTGATGGTCGTGCAGACAGGGAACGAGAGGTGTGGTGCAGGCCGTGGGGTAGCTTCACATTGCCCGAGGGCTGTGCCTGTTGCTGGCTGAGATCACATTGTTGCGTGCGCAGGGTACCAACCTTTCAACCCCTTGCCTTGCAGGGGTGCGGGCCTGACGACGTACGCTGTCGGCATCGTGGGGGTGGGCACTGTCTTGTACCTGACGGTGGTGCGTGGCTGGCGCCTGGGCGACTTCCTGTATGTCACCCGGCGGGGCCTGCAGCAAGGCCTCGGCCAGCTCCACACACGTGCGTGTCTTCTTTGGGGATGGAGGGCACACGAGACATGCACCTAGGACCACTTGGTTTGTAAAGAGGTGGTCAGTCTCTCGGGTACGGAATCTCGTCCCTGCATGCCCCTCCAATCGCTGACATCTTGCTGTCAACGTGGCTCTGCGCAGGTTTGGAGGGTCTGAATGCGCGCCTTAATGACGTCAAGGCCCGTCTCCAGGCTAAGCTGAATGAGCTGGGAGGTAAGCAGGACGCCACCATCGCTGCCCAGCGCGAGATGTCCCAGCGCTTGGATGAGGTGGGCCGGGACGTCACAAACACTGGCAGCCAGGTTCGGCAGATCCACGGGAAGGTCTATGACATGGACTCGGCGTTGGTGGAGGTTGGCGCCAACCAGCGGCATGCCAACCACGGCATCTTCATCCTGTGCAAGGCGGTGGGGGAACTGATGCAGGGCTCCAACATCGCGTCGCGGGCAGAGCTCCTGGAGTTCACCCAGCACCCAATCTGGCAGGGAGATCGCCTGCAGGTGATGAAGGAAGGGGGGTGGGAGGGAAGGGCAATGGTGCCCTGTGGGATGAGCGTGAGGACGGTCAAAGGGCTATGAAGATGAGGTGCAGACAGGACCTTGAGAAGGAACAAAAAGGGAGGTTGTCAACCCAGCCAGATGATGGGGAAGCCGGGCGCTGAAAGGACCTGGATGCACAATATCACCCTTCACACCCCGTCACTTGGTGCAGGGGCTGGAGAGCGTCCTGGGAGACATGGATGCCAACAGCAAGGGCAAGCGTCCGTTCCTGCTGGGCGGTGGGCGGGGCTCCTCACCAACGACAGAGCTTTCCTCAGCTCGAGGATCGAGCAGTGCCACAGAGGAGGACCTGTCCCTCCCAACTTTTGGAGCCATGAATGCGCAAGGCATCTCCTTGCTAGCCACGAGGTCCCTGAATGGTGTGCTGCGAACGTCAAACCTTGGACATGTGTGGTAGCTAGTATGTGTGCCCTGAGCGCTGTCCACTCCCATTCAGCCTGCTGTGTTGTCCCATGCCTGTACCAAACACTTGTAAACACTACGACGCCAAAGCGAGAGTTGAAGCTGCGTGCGGGCGCACGTGGCCTGGAAGAGCGCTCAAACTTGTGTCCAGCGACAACAACCGCAGGTTCATCTCGCTGTGAAGCAGCCTCGCGCATCAAAATCCTGCAACAGCGCACTTTGCCTGACCAGGACCCGATTGGCAGGACGTGGTGGGCCTCCAGGGACACCTTATGTCCTCCGGCGTAGGATTCGAGAGCATGGTGGACTCCGTCTTCCTGGACGTGATCCGGGTGGTTCCACAGCTCCTGCTGGTGGTCCTTGTCGTCATCGTAGCAGTACTGATCGGGAAAGATATCTTGAATGGCATGCGGCGGCCCTTCCTCAAGCCCGACCAGTGGCAAGCGCTCCCCCTGACTGAGGTGAAGAAGACAACGCATAACACGCGCCTTTTCCGCTTCGCGCTACCCCATGTCGATCAGCAGCTGGGACTGCCCGCGGGTCAGCACATCACGCTCAAGGTTACAGGACCCCATGGCGACGAGATCCTCAGGTGTGCCCCAGGCTTGGTGGAGGAGGTCGATGACACTTTCCCAGCCGTGCTGCTGGGTGGGCGCCCTCGCCCTCCACGTGACAAGCGCCACTTCATCGCTTGCCTTGACTCGGCGAGGTCGTGACAGCCCTTCTCAATCTCGTTACAGGCCCTACACACCAGTCTCTGACATCTCCCAGCGTGGGACCGTCGATTTCCTGATCAAGGTCTATCCCGAGGGCCGCATGTCCCAGGCGTTGGATGCCCTGGCTGTGGGAGACAAGGTGCTCTTCAAGGGGCCAAAGGGGCGATTCGTGTACAAGCCGGACACCTGGAATGCCATCGGCATGCTGGCTGGGGGCACGGGGATCACGCCCATGTACCAGCTGCTGCAGAAGATCCTGAAGGACCCGAATGACACGACAGAGGTGCAGGCAGGGCAGAGGGGGGGCCGCAGATTGGCGAGGCAGGGAGGCCACGTAGCTCCACCTGCAAGGATTCATGGCTGACGAGGAGAAGTTGTGCAAGGCCCTCACGCGAAGGTCCGCACACAGCGCCTGCATCCCCCGACCCGTCATCCAAACTTCCTTCACACCCAATGGGCAGATCTCGCTGATCTTTGGAAATGTCACCGAGGATGACATACTGCTGCAGAAGGAGCTGGAGGAGATGGCGAGTAAGCACAAGCGATTCAAGGTGAGCGGAGCAGGGTGCACCTGCGGAGGTCTCTGAAGGCCTGAGGAACCGGCCTGCGTCGTTTGACGAGTCCTTCCTCAGGCGCCCATGTCCGACATTGGAATCGATCACTCACTGAATCCACACGTCGTGCCATTCTCTCCCCCAATGCAGGTATTCCACGTCCTCAACAACCCTCCAGCTCAGTGGACTGGAGGTGTTGGGTTCATCTCCGAAAGCATGATCAGGTATTGGACCTGAGCTTCTCAGCCTGGGGTGGGGTGGGGCGGGGTGAGGCGGGGTGGGGCACACTGTAGACTGGAGGCCAGCCAGGGGTCAGTATAGAAAGGAGAGCACCTCCTGTCCCAGGATGGGTCGTCGATGCTGAGTAGCTTCTGTTCTTGACATCCACTGTCGATGCACGTTTACCGCAGCTCCAGTATCTGCCTTTCCCATTTGACAGGGAGCACTTCCCGGCACCGGCTGCTGATGTCCTCATTCTGCGGTGTGGGCCTCTGCCCATGATGAAGGCCATGGAAACCCACCTGGACAGGCTCGGGTACACCCGCGAAGTCCAGTTTCAGTTCTGAGGGCCTCTTGCAGTGGCTTGCATGCGACTATCTCACAATGTTGCAATGCACAGCAAGCAGCATGGGTAAGAATGCAAGGGATGAACAGGTGAGCAAGCATCATCCTCGTCGCCTGCCCTGTGAGCGTGGGAACAGGCCGACAGACTGCCTTCTGCCAAATTCGACCCTGTTTGGCACAGCCAGGTCCACATTTGCCAGGCTCAGCCTGGAGAGACTCTCTTCCACGCCCACCGGTCCTCCCTCTGCATCCATCCTCACAACGTCTGGCTGGGACAGGTCTCCACGTGTGGGCGGTCCCTTGCATGCCTGTATGACAGTTACAGGCTTCGCTCGAGCCCTTCTCCCCCTTTGGAGGACAATGGTAGAGAGACAGTTGGTAATCCCACAGAGGGATTGTTTCATTCAGATAGGGACAACGTGTATCACTGACACATCCTCTGAAAAGCACACCAACCTGAGATGCGAGGTTTCAAAGTGAAAGGCGGGGTCGTACCCATGCGCTTCCAGGAGGTGCTCTCTTCTCTCCTCTGTGCTGCAGGTTGTGTGCTCGCAGCTCTCCACCAAGCAACGGTACACCTGAAGCATGATGGAAGGTGGGGAAAGGATGAGCCGCAAATGATATCCCAGGGCAACACACCGGCAGAGTCGCAGAACCTGCTACCAGATACTAGCGTCGACGGTGTGCAGTGGCCCTCACTACTTGGTTAATTTTTGCGCGGGACCTGAGACATGCCCGGCAGAAGAGGCATTGAACCTTACCGGAAGGCGACGCGCAGCCTGTGCAGCAAAGAAGCTGTCGTGCATCTCAGTCAGGTGGAGGTCAAGGAGGTGCGGACTGGGAAGTGAGGCTCGACAGTGGCGGCATGCAAACTCCTGCGATCTCTCGGTGACATGCACCATCATTTTGGGGGCTGGACGAGGGGCACTTACTGTAATCGCATCGGCCAGCGACCGAGCTCGCTGCAAGGGAAGGAGGGAATTGCTGCTGGAAATGAACTTTTGAAGAGGAGCCCATTGAGATTGCCCCGCCACCAGAGCAATAGCAGCACCCATACTCTTAGCCACAGCTGGCATGTTGCTCATTCCACACCCTGCGGCTGCGCACCTGTTCGGCAGCGATCCTCTCCCTCTCGCGATTGCCAAACTCAAACAAGGAATCATCTGGCTGAAGGCGTCGCCGCCCTCCGACAAACGGCAATGACTGTGTTTGGGAGGGGACATGCCCAGCCATGCTCAAGCAGTCCTCGTTGTCAGGGGGAGCGCACTAAAAGTTGGAATCCATGTCGAAATCCATCAGGACATCCGACATGAAGGGCAGGAGAGGGGCAGGTGGCGCGGTGGCGACCTGAACCGAATCAGTCTCGGCCTCTGACTTGATGTTGGCCTTGGTGTCCTCCACAGCCTCGGTCTTTGCTTCGGGGTCTGGGCTCTGTAGTTCCTGCCTGAGCGCCCAGTCCTGGACGAATGCCTGTAGGGAAGAAGCCAGCCAAATTTCATGCAGCGACCCCGATAAAGGTGGATCCACCCTGCGGCTGAACAGCGGTGGCTTCGCCCAACCTCTCCATGCTCCCTTCATCTGCCGAATGTACCAGTTCGAACTCGGCCTGTGTTAGGGCAGCCTCCAGCTCCTCTTTCGACTGGACCAGCTTATTCGCCGCAGCGCCTTGTAAAGACCTTGGCAAGTTTGGAAGGAGATTGGTTGCCTCGCATGTCCGACACAATCCTGGTCAGCTAGGGGACACCATTTCACCCTCCCCCACCTGCTTTGAGCAGACGCATACAGGTCGGCAGCAGCGCCCAGATACTTGTCCCAAGCAGGCTGGACAGTGTCCATGCTCATGCACTACTGGTGGGGTCTTGCGATGGATCTCAGTCTCCCGGGCCACTCGGCTTAAGGCGCCGAGGGACCTTTACATGGTCGTAGCCCTGCTAGCCGTGCTGCGGAGGCGATCACTACACCTCGGAACGCAGGCCTTGTGCTTGTGATTCCTGCAGCAGGCATCGAATAAGGCTTCCCACCAAACACTCCTGAATCAACCAGGCGTTGGGTCGTCGTGAACTCGGCGCTGGCTGGCCCCTGCCTGGGAGCAGGTTGCGTTTCGGAGGCAGGATGTCCAGGTCACCCACGGCTGTGGCAATGCGTCGCATACAGGTACGCGACGGCAATCACATGAACCGTGACTAGTGGGATGACCCAATGGCAAGTTCACCACTCTGATGCCGATCGATCATTGCAGAGCGAACTGAATGAATGGTTGCTGCACCCCCCTGAGGGCTGCAAGCTCATTCAGTACGAACCTCTTCTGACCTGGGTGATTGAGATGCATGGACCGGACAGGGACCAGTCTGCGGCTCCCTTGTACCATGGTGAGTTGTTCCCTGCTTGGCGCTTATGGGTTCAACTGGTCTTTGTCACAAAGTTGTCTCTATGCTGATCACTTGGCACTCGCTGTTGCCATCAGGTCTGGGGGACGTACTGCGATGCGTAGCTGGAGCCAGGATAACAAATGCATGGTAACCATGGACAGGCAGCCTAGCACTTTAACCCCCTTAGCAACGCTGTAAATTCCACCGGTCGCCCCCTTGCATCTACAGGAGAGGTCTACCAACTCCAAGTATGCTTCACAGATCGGTATCCTCTGGAGTCGCCCATCGTCACATTTGTCCCCCCCGCCCCAATCCACCCCCACATCTATTCCAACGGCCACATCTGTCTCGACATTCTGTACGACAGCTCCAACGGCGGCTGGTCCCCTGCACTGACCATCAATAAGGTGGCCCTGTCAGTCCGATCAATGCTGGCCAGCAACACTGTGCAGCTTAGGCCCCCCGGGGATCGCAGCTACTGCCAGCGAATGGCTGGACGATCGCCAAAGGAAACGCAGTGGCGATTCGATGATGACGGGGTGTGAACACAGTGTAAAGCTATGGCGTGTGCCTCGGTGCCGCTACACACTTACCAAGCTAACTACCAGCTCGATCAGGCTTTGCCGCCACATTGCCTGGTCCACTCTTTTGTACACTGCCAAGGCCTCCGACCACATGATTTTGCTCTGTAACATTACCTAAAAAGAGGTGGCCCCTCAAAGTCTATGGGGGCAGCCCTCAACCCCCAAAACATGGCGAGCATCTGTTATAATGGGCCAGGGAGGCGCCAGGTAAGAGGGGCCAGCTGCAAGGGCATGGGTTCCTGTGATGGTCAACTGTGGACTGTGACAAGGTTCCCCGTTGAGGGCTTGCACATGAGGACCGCTCAGTACTCGATGCTGCCGTCGCCCTCGGTGATGCTTTCCTTGAAGGAACCGCCACCCGGGATCATGGGCAGCACATGCTGGATGTGGGGCACGATAATGTCTAAGAGGAAAGGCCCTGGCGTGTCCAGCATTTCCCTGTGCAATGCAAGGGGTGTGATGGGTAAGCAGCTTGCTCTCCATGCAGTGAAGGATGGGAGAGCTGCGGGGCTTCCATGCCCAGGATGGGGCAGGCAGGACGTCACAGACAGGCAGGAGGGTGCAGGTCGCGCCTCCCTGTTCCCTGCATCCGCCTCCTTGTCCTTCCCAAGCCGCGGCACACTGAAGGAATTTGGAATCTACCACCCTCTCCCCCCTTTCCCCCGCAGCAGGTCACCTGATGGCACTGCGCAGTTCCTTGGGGTCGATCACGCGGCGCGCCGGGATGTTGAAGGCCTTGGCCAGGGTCACAAAGTCTGGGTAGATGTCGCCCAGGTCCTTGGTGACGTGATACTCGGCCTCCTTGCGGCCCAGGTACGTGTGCGCCCGGTTGGCCTTGTAGAAGCGGTCCTCCCACTGCATGACCATGCCCAAGTGCTGGTTGTTGAGGATGAAGCACTTGGTCTCCAGGCCCTCCACAGCCGCAGTCGCCAGCTCCTGCGGTGCCGGGGATGGTGCGGCGAGGGGGGGTGGGCGGCAGCGCAAGGCAAGGCAGCGACATGCAAGGCCAGTTCACAGGTCTCTGGCAGCAGAGCCCGGCGACTGGGGCACAGCCAGCAAGCATGTGAGGATGGCATGCTGAGGCACAGTCTGCCCTCCTCGCACTCCAAATGTCCCTCATGGCCTCCACAACTGCACAGTGCCCCAAACTGTTTCCCTTGTCAATGCAAATGGCTGACACCATGACGGCAGCCCTAAACATAGACCAGCCGTACAGAGTTCCTCCAACCCACCACACCTGGCAGTTCATGACAAAGGAGCCGTCGCCATCGATATCCACGACCACCTTCTTTGGTCGGCCGTCCTTGCCGTCGAAAGCCGCTGCCGCACCCAGGGCTGCATGGAAAGCACGATGGAGGAAGATTTGTAGGACAGTGGACAGGCGTCAGAAGGGGGGGCGACTTTAGAACAGCACACACAGGATGGCACGACGCTGGGTGTCTCACTGGGCGCCGGCTGTACGTTCCAGACTGTCGTTCAGGGTCCAACAGATTCAACAGGCCCATGCTCCACACCTTGCGGCCCCTCCTTTTCCCTTCCTCAAGAAGCAAACTCCCTTATATTATTCCCCAACCCCCACCCCACCCCCCCCACACACCTGATGGCAGGCCAAAGCCCATGGAGCCCAGCCCGCCCGAGGTGACCCATCGCCTGGGCTCCTTGAACTTGTAAAACTGGGCGGCCCACATCTGGTGCTGGCCGACGCCCGTGGTGACGATGGCGTCACCCGCCGTCTCCTCGTACAGCATCTCGATGGCACGCTGGGGCATTATTAGGTCGTCGCGGTCGGTCGGGTAGCGCAGCGGGAACTCCGCGCGCTTGGCCTCCAGCGCCTCCACCCAGGGCGCGAACTGCGTGCGGTCCACGGGCGCGGCGCGCAGCATGCGGTTGAGCAGCGCCAGCGCGGGCTTGACGTCGGCGCAGACCGGGATGTGGGCCTCCTTGTTCTTGGAGATCTCGGCTGGGTCGATGTCGATGTGCACGACGCACGCGCGCGCAGCAAAGGCCTCCAGCTTCCCCGTCACGCGGTCGTCAAAACGCACGCCCAGTGCGATGAGCAGGTCGGCGTCGTTGACCGCATAGTTGGCGTACACCGTGCCGTGCATGCCCAGCATGTGCAGGGCCAGGGGGTCCTCCTCGGAGAAGGCGCCCAGGCCCATCAGCGTCTGGGCTACGGGGATGCCCGTGGCGGCCACAAACTCCGCCAGCTCGGCGGCGGCATCCAGGCAGCCGCCGCCGACGTAGAGCACGGGGCGGCGCGCGGCGCGCACCGCCTCCAGCACCGCGGCCAGGGGCTCGGCGCGCGGCGCGGGGGGCAGGCGCCCCGTGTAGCTGCCCAGCGCCATGGGCGCGTCCCAGTCCGGCACTGCCAGCGTTTGCTGCAGGTCCTTGGGCACGTCCACCAGCACGGGGCCGGGGCGGCCCGACCGCGCCAGGTAGAAGGCCTCCTTCACCACGCGCGGGATGTCGTTCACGTCCATCACCAGGTAGTTGTGCTTGGTGATCTGACGCGTCACCTCCACAATCGGCGTCTCCTGGAAGCCGTCGCTGCCGATCAGCTTGCGCGGGACCTGGCCCGTGATGGCCACCAACGGGACCGAGTCCAGCAGCGCGTCCGCCAAGCCGGTCACCAGGTTGGTGGCGCCGGGGCCAGAGGTGGCGATGCACACGCCCACGCGCCCAGATACCTTGGCATAGCCCTCTGCCGCGAAGATCTCGCCCTGGGAGGGCACAGGGAGAGGGGGGGGGGGAGGGTGATATTGGCTTGGTGGGAAGGAAGGTATACATCTTGAGAGACAGCTGTGTTTCTTAGACGACGGGGGATGTGTGGTAGTCCAATCGGCCTTGGGGGACATGATCATGGCCCCATTCCTGAAGGATCACACCATGATCTATCCCGCATTCCAATCGACCTGACACCATCATGCCCCACAGCCTCTTTCCCCAAGTTTCCAGCTTCTCATCCCTGCCCCCGCGCGCGCCCCTCTCCCTTTTTAGGAAAGAACACACCCACACCTGCTCATGCCGGCACAGGATGTTGCGGATGGAGTCGGAGCGTGTGAGGGCCTGGTGGATCTCCATGGAGGCGCCGCCAGGGTAGGCAAACAGCACGTCCACGCCCTCGCGCTCCAGAGCCTGGACCAGGATGTCCGAGCCCTTGCGCGGAGCGTCGCCGAAGCGGTCCACCCAATCCTTGAGCGGGGTGGGGGCGGGGTAGGGCACAGGGCCGAGCGCCTCTCGCGGCGGGGAGACCACGGCGGCGGCCTCGCTCAGGCCGGAATCGCGGGCCAGGGTCGCCTGGGTGGGCTGGGCGCTGCTGCGCCGGCCAGCGCCCCTGCACGCCCGGGGAGGGGGGGGAGGGGGGTTGACCACGCATACCCTGCTGACGAGGTGAAATCCAGAGTGATGACCAGTGGCCTCCCAGCCAGCGATTGCGGGCCCACGACATTCGAGACAGGCGTCGAAGCACGGTGACACAAACGCATTGCACCACTGTCTCGCACCTCGAGGTGGCGTGTGCGGGCCTGGCCGGGCGACTGGCCAGGGAGTGACCGACCTGCAAATTGAACCACGTGAGGGTGGGTCCGGCGCGAGTCACTGGGCAGCGGCGGGAGCGGGGCGCCAGGCGCCCGACATTGCACGAAATCGGAGCGGAACCGTACCTGGGCCTTTACGGGTGCCGGGTGGCGCGCAGAGGCGAGGGTGCACCCCTGACTCGCTTGCATGGCGACACAGGTGGACTTCATGCTGTCCACCTCCTATGTCTGGGGCCTCTGAGGGTGACCGGATTGGTCGAATAAAGTTCTTCCCCTTTTTGAGGCTGACATCGACATGAAAGGCATTACGAAGCCAGGCTGTTGTCATCGTCGCGGCGGGAGGGCTTGTCTGGAAAGCAGGAACCGATCAATCCCAGCCAGTCGAGATTCGAGGGAGCATGGGCCGGGCGATGGGGGCCTAGAAGTCGCTCTGGAACGGTGAAGGGGTGGTTGAATCACGTAGAAGGCCAAGAAACAAGTTTAAATACCTGGTTGGAACCGTTATTCACCCATTATATAGGCCCATGGCAGCCCAGCCTTATCCTGTCGCAGCCTCCCTCTCCCGGCAGGGAAGCATGGGGCAGGCGGAGAGCAGCGGGGCTTGCCTGCGATCATCAACTAGCTTCCAGGCGGGGGATCTCATGCGCGGAGCCATGACCCGGCGCCCCTGTCGATCTAACAGCTCCGCGAGGCCCTTCGCCGGACCAGGCACCGTCGCACCCAGTCCGCACCTCCGGCTCAGCCGCTGGAAGGCGGAGAGCAGCCTGCACCCCCACATCTTGGCAGCCCTCGCCAAGATCTATGAGGGCCCCGCTGCGCATGAAGGGCTCGGGACGGGCATGGACTGCGGGCATGGATCTCGGAGGGCGTCCTCGCCATCCGCGACATCGGCCCGGCTGCCTCACCCCCCCGCGTCACTGGGCCTCTCTGCCGCCCACTCCGACGCCTCCACCTCTGCGCCAAGCCCAGCTTCCAGCGCCCTCGTCCTCTCAACACGGGGCCCACGGCGGAGGAGGCAGGGCCCCGCCCGGCGCTGGAAGGGTCGGGACGCCCCAGCCTCCACCTCCGACTACCGGCGTGTGGCCTTGACGTCGCGGTGTGTGGCCCGTCAGCGCCCAGAGGCAGCTCGGGACTCTGGCGAGGAGGGCGCGGGCAGCCAGGAGGAGAGGGACGCAGCATACCTCGGCACCGTCCGATCAGCCCTGACCTCGGGGCGAAAGGAGGCGGCCGCCACCAAGCTCAGCGACGATACCATCACCCTCTTCCTCAACTCACTGGGGGACACATTTGTCCTGAGCAAGGCCCAGGAGCTGCGCATCGCTGGCATTTACCAGAGGGCGTGCGCCGTCGAACGGACGATGGCAGCAGCTGCGGGCACGACCCTGGAGGGGCATGAGGCGGTGGAGGCAGAGGCAGTAGACATGCAGCAGTTGCAGTTGAATAAGGCTGAGGCCCACGATCTGATGGTCCAGTTCAATCTGAGGTGAGGTCCTGGGGGGAGCGGGGGGAGGGTGGAAGAAGCTGTTCTGGAGGTGTGACTGCCTTGGATCGCACTCCTCAGGGATGTGCTGTGGCATGGACTTTGTTGCATTGCTCCTGTTCTGTCTTTTGAGGTGATTGGGTCCCTGAGACACAGACAGGTGCAATGCAAGGACACCACCCGTTATACAAACCCTTCCACAGGCTGGTCATCTCAGTGGCCAAGCGCTACCGTAATCTGGGAGTCCACCTCTCAGACCTGATCCACGAAGGGATACGGGGGCTTATCAAGGTGTGCTGGGGTGGGTAGAGGTGGGAGGCATGATGCTTTAGATGAGGGCTTTCTTCTGGGAACACAGATTGGATCACTTTTTTGCTCACAAGTTCAAGAGGATGGGCTACTCGATGGCTCTGGTTGAGCCCCTTACCACTATAGTCCCTCGAGTCGTGTCTGATTTCTGGCCATTCTCTGATTTCAGCCTCACTGCCCTTGCTTCCATGTGTTGCCTCCTTACTGCTTGCAGGCTATCGACCGCTTCGACCCTGGAAAGGGCTTCAAGTTCTCGACATACTCCCATTTTTGGATCAGGCAGAGCATCGTACGATGCATAGGAGGTAAGAATGGTGTGCGCTGCGTGTTGCTGTGTTTCCGCTTACCCCTGCTACTGTCGCTCAATAGAGTCTGTGGGTGTCTGTCAGGGTGTGCAGCTTCATGTTCCGACTTACCTTGCCAAATGATCACCCCTCCTATCCCACACCTCCGTCAACAGACCAAGGAAGGGATATCCGGTTGCCCTCTGCTGTGATGGAGACCATCCAGAAGCTCACGCGCATCCAGAGCGAGCTGCAACGACCAGCTGTAACGGATGAGTCAGTGGACTACGCTGACCTGGCACGTGCGGCAGGGATGCCCCTGGAACGGGTGATGTTCTTCATGAGCATAGCCACCCCGCCGGTGCACCTCGGCCAGAACGAGGAGCTGAGGGGACGGGAGGACGGGAGTGACTACAATTTCCTGCAGGACATTGAGACACAGGGCCCCAGCATCGAGGATGAGCTCACTGAGGAGGAGAACAGGCTGTTTCTCTTGCAGGTGAGAGGATGGAGGGTATTTTGCTTGCCAGCAGTGCCTGGTCTTTTGGTCAGCATGACATCTGCCTTGTAGCGCTGAAGATGCTTGTGACCGGGTATTCACTATCTTGTGCTGCTCATCCCCTTGTCTGACTGCGTTCTGACCTCAAATGTGGAAGTGGCAGGCCGTCCTGTTTGTATCTTGCTTAACTCTGACGGTGCCAGCCTGGATATGTTTGGCGCCCCCTCCGCCCACGCACCCACCCCCCGCCCACTCAACCCACCCACCCCCCCCACTCACCACCATACCCCTCCCCCCCATTGCAACAGAATTTGAACCTCATCCTTTCCACGCTGCCCAAGCGGGAGCGCAACATTCTGCGACTGCGCTATGGCCTGCTGAGCATGGAGGGGACGCCCGGGTCGGACAGGACCTCCCCAGGGTCGAGCCAGGGGATGGACCTGAACGACCTGGGGCTGGCTTACGGCCTGTCGAGGGAGAGGGTGCGCCAGCTGGAAGATAAGGCCATGGCCCACCTGCGCACCCCTTGGAGGCAGCGCCTGTTTGCGGAGCTGGATGCGGGGGGGAAGCTGTCGCCCCAGGCCGCCAGCACGCTGGCCGTCTGTGCGGCCCGGGTCAATGATCCCTGGTCCAGCTGAGGACAATTGCTGACGGTTCCGAAAGGATTTCGCAGGGGTATTGTGTCCTTTCTGTTCAGGAACACGTCGAACCCAGAACCCACATTGTATATTGCTGGTCAGGCAGGGAGACAGTGTCATCTACGACGCTCTCCAGCACTGTGCGGCCAGCCCCTTCCAATCTTCTTTGCCCAGGGGGTGAAGTGTGGTGCCAGCAACCTAGCCCCAGCAGCAGCGTTTTGCAGTCTGCCCTGCTCGAGCCCTGGATTGTTGGTGACGGCACTCCATCCCTCATGGACGTGTAAATTCCCTTATCTCCAGTCAAACCTGGCCTGTACCCCTTCAGAATTCCAGCTCATTGATCCACTGCACATGGTTCAGTCTCACAGAGGTTATTGCACGAGTCCTGAGCTAGGAGGCAGCCATGGCAGAAGGTACCATTACTGTGCAGCAAAGGAGATTTTCATATTGCTTGCACCTCCTGTTGGCAGGGTTTGCACTGAGCATCGTCTCAGAGATGAGCTTCAACAGACAGTGAGCTGCCATCAACATCTTCACAGCCGATCCTGTGCCCTACGAGTTCGTCTTCAACATGGAGTCCTGCCAGGCATGTAGAATGCTCAGTCGTTCTTCATCGGCACTCCTTGTGAGCACCACCTCCGCCCTCAGGCCATAGCCTCGTAATGCTTCCAGCAGCACTGTGGTGGTTGGGAAGCGCTCTTTATAAGCATAACAGTGAGGGCTCCTAAGCAATGGACCCTGCATGCCTGCGACACAGTCTGGATGTGCCTAGGGTCCAAGCACTTGCGCGCGATTCCTCCCTGCCTGCATCCGAGGGCAGTGGGCACTTACCCTCAGGCTCGTTGGCAGCCACAGACACCATGAGGAAGTGGCCAGTGCACGACAGGAGGCCTGGGACCTGGGGCAGCAGCCGGTCGATGACTCGCCTCCCTTTCCACCCTCCCGCCCATGCAGCCGTGATGGTGGTGCCGAGGGTGACCTCGCCATCGGGGGTCGGGACGTAGGGTGGATTGAACAGGAGCAGGTCCACGCATCCCTGCAGCCGATCTCCCAGGCCCGCCACAAGGTCTGTTTGCACCAGGTCTGCACCCTCAATCTGTTGGAGGGGATTGGCGTGATCAAATAGCTCGGGTTGAGACAAATCACAAGATGCAGGTGCATTATGTGGGCAGGTGGAGGCTTATTTGGTGCCCGTGCCCTTTCTATTGGTCCAGCTTCCTCCAAGCACACCCTCACGCACGTCCACAGTCATAACCTGGTGAGCTTGCAAGGTCCCTGCTGTAGCTTCCAGAGCGGCAGCACTGCAGTCAGTGGCCATTACATGGGCTGGGTGCACACCCAAGGCGTGCAGGAGTCGCACGGCCGAGCAGATGACATACCCGCTCCCACTCCCTATTTCCAGGCATCTACAAGGTCCAGGATGCACTTGGAAGAGGTACAGCGTTGATTTTGCGGAGACATGGAGAGCATTGTTGCGAGTGACTCGTACAAGCATTGATACAAAATCTCATTTCACTACCCCACGACACATTCCCCACCTTACACTTACAGCTGGGGTGCGGGGCCTGATGCACCCTGTAGAAGGCTCCCGAGAGCATCGCATAGAGCAAAAGAGTCCTGCGGCATGTGAGGTGCAAGATTATACACATCTGATATCTTTAAGTATTGGTACTCGCCGAGGTTGGGACACTTCGTTAGCAGAGGCTTACATCGGAGGGCTCATAGACGTCCCGGGTGTAGCATGTCTTTCTGATTTCCGCACACCAGGGCGGGACCATGATACGAAATACCTTGTCCTCGCATGTCGAGAGAGTATATTTGGGTCGCAAGAGGTTGGATGCGGAGCTGTTCCCACTTGCTGTACTGTCCTGTTCTCGACCATACCAAGCGCGCCCAGAATCAGCTTTTACCCCTGCCCCTGCCGTAATATCAAGTCCGCAAATCACAATAATGGATGAATAATTGTGCATAAGCCTGCATTGAAAACCGCTTCATCGCAGTAGGCCGACACGTCAGGAACAAACTCAGTCTGGATTGGGCAAGCAACATTGGCATACTAGCCATCTAACCCTCACCACCGCATCTGCCTGGCTGTTCGCAGACCGACCAAACACTGTCCTCACTGGGTATTCCGCATCCACATCTCCCCGCCCTCGAGACACTGTCCAGGGGCCAGCAGGTCAAGTCCCGAGCTGCAGTTCGTCATGACGCGGTACACCAGCCGCGCCGTAATCTTTGGGAACTTCCGCGCCAGCACGTAGCAGGTCGAGGGCAGGGCGGTCCCCGAGGAGAGGATAGGGCCCGCATCACGGGACCCCTCGCACTCAGGACCACTGTGGGCATGCGATTGATGCTTTGTTAGGTATTCTCAAATGATGAGGAGCCCAGGGCAGCTCAATTTCCCCATCAAGGGAACAAGGGAGCCTTCTGCAGATAAGTGCAAGCTTGGCCCACCCTCCCACCCAATGTATGACTTGCCTGTATGGCGCGATCGAGGCCACGTGCACGAACCCTGCCATTGCCTCGGCGATCAGTGTCTCTGGCTTGCAGCTGTCGGCTGATCCCCTCAGGCGACGGATCAGAGGCGCGTTCACCTCCCTGGGCCTGTCATTGGGAAGAGAGAGGCAACTTTGCGTACACATCGGATGAACAAGTAAATCACAACCTGGAAGTGCAACAGGCCCTGTTTCATCATAATCAACATGCATACGTCCCCTTAGTATTCACTCTTATATTCTGCCTGGTCAGCCACCCACAGCTCACGCGTAGGAATGCGGGTGTGGATGCCAGCCCTCGTAAGCCCATTCCGTGGAGGTGATGCCATACACTTCGCAATTCTCCTCTGTCTGAACGCCACGCGATGCTAGTAGGGTGGAAAGGTAGTGCTGCGGGTGTGGCAACGGACAACGGATGGCAATCACTTTCGGAAGCAGTGCATGCACATCAGGAGAAGGGGCGTCGTAGTGGCTTGATGACAGGCCTCCTACACCGCACATGAACGACTGCATTCCCCAAGCTGATACACTTTGCACCTCTACCCACCTCATCACTGAAGCAATCCCTATTTCGTCGGTAGTCCGAATCGTACCCCCCCCTCGCAGTGGGCCTCAAAGCTGTGGAATGGAAGGCATAGGGAAGGTGGGTGCAGCGGACGACATGCTGCGCTCCTCGCACCATGTCCACCTCACAGATGTATGCTCATTCCCTGAAAAAGATGTTGACAACCCTGCTGCATTCCAAAACTCGCCTGCGGAATACTTCAGTGTCATTCAGCACCAGAGTAGCATGCTCCCGTATCAACATGAACCTGGCAAGAAGCAGGGAGAGGGGTCGAGCTTCAGCACGGTGGGTCCACGATGGTGAAGTGGTGTTCGTCATCTGTATTATAAGATAGAATGATGTAGCCCTGATTCATTCCCCCCCACACGCCTTCTGGACATACCATTGAGAGCTCTTCCGCCAGTGCGAGCTCTTCAGGCCCTTTCTCTGCAAGCAAAGGCATTTGAGCATACATCTGGATACCAGTGCATCAGCAAGCACGGCATGCTCTGGAGATTCGGAAGCGTTGCTTGGAACCCTCATACATTTCTCTGCCACTCTCACCGACATCCGCCAGCTCCAGCGCCGATGGTCCTGGTTGGCACTCTTGCAGGCATTCACTCGTGACAGGTTCTCGGCCATCACCTGGATGCGGTGTGTAAATGCATGAGGATGGAAAACCACTGCCGTCAGTTGAGAAGAAGCCTTGGTAGTGCAGCGCCCAGGACACACCGGTGTAGCTTTACATCCCTAGAAGAGAAAAGACGGAAACAGGGCTCCCGTTGGCCCTGCAGAGTAAGTTTGAGGGTCTGCCTCACCGAAGGAAGGAGTTCCCAACACAATTCCTTCACCGTCACCGCACCTGGCTGTACAGTACAAGGAGGATGGTAGAGGGGGATGTCGCTCTCACTCAGCAGCACAAACCTGTTGGCAGTCGAGGTGAGCCATGGGTTGAAAAGTGGTATTCTGCATATTCGGCAGTGGGCCTCTACAAACGTACTTGGCATGCAGAACACTTTATCAAAATCTTGACCACCATAATTCTTGAAGCCCGCACAAAAGCACCTCTCCGCCTCCTTCCACACACCTAGTGTTGGCAGGGTCTTGGTAGGCGTGCCACAGCAGGTTTCTCTCAGCCTCCACGAGTTGGTGTGATCCCCAGCCAGTGTATATCCTATCCTTGATGAGCCTTCCCTTGAAAAGCGGTCTCATATCCTTCTCTGCAAGGTGCAAGTAAGTGGGGAGAGGATTGCTGTGTGTTACTGACACCATCATGTCATTCACCTGTGTTGGTAAACGACCAGGAAACAACTGTATGCCACATGAACCCAACTGGGAACGAATATGGGCCGAGGTGAACTCCTCATAAGCGAGCTTTTCGAAGAAAAGATGATCACCCAACCCTTCCTCCTGACAGAATCCAGCCCTGCCTGCCTGCAATGTTGGGCGGCGCATGGACATACACGCTGAACAGGTACTGCCGATCCAATACCACCTCATCGGGGTCCAAGGCGCGCTGCCCCTCAGAGTCGGTGCCGGTCATGTCACAGAAGCTGCGCAGGGCCTCCGCGGTTGTGAAGTTGTTGCACACTGCCTCCTCCACGTTTGAGACTGGGAGCATTCCCTGCGCCGACCTGTTTTGCCAGGAATCAAGAAAAGGTGAGCCGTGGCATGCATGAAAGTCTCCAGTCCTCGATTTGCGCATTGCAGATTCTATCTTGATATGTTTATTGGAGCCTGGCCAACCCGACGTGCCTGAACCAGGCACTCCATGTCTGGTGATGGAAGAGGTCGCCTTTTGTTAGGAAGAGCAAGGCCACACGATCCAATTCCAATGCCTAACAATGGATGAGAGTAGTCTGGATGCCTTGCTTTTCATTGAGAAAGATGTGACTGATCCCAACTGAGGCAGCGCCCCATTGTACAGATGCAAGCTCCCACGTTTCCAAGCAAAGCGGTGCCACTCATCACGACTTACCATGTTGCAGGTGTTCCCGCGCTCATCCCAGCTGCTTGCCGGTTTGAGTACGGCCAGAGGAGATGCGGGATGAACAGGAGGGGGGCTGGGTGCCGATTGGGCCACCAGGCCATACCTTGTGACTGCATGTGTTTGGTATGGCAGGAAGTGTTAAATCGGTGCACATCAGGCACCCTCACTGCTTGTATCAGTCAAGGGTGGGTGGACTGCGAACTCCCAACCACTCATCCAGCACCTTGCACCTTACATGATGCACACCTTTTCGCCTATAGCAGCCCCAACACTCAAGAAATGAGTCACCGCATTACCTGCTATACTGTTCTGCAGCTGCTTGGCATCCCGGCTCCTGTCGTCATCCAGGCTAGGTGTGGGGGGGATACCCAGGGATGCTTGCCGTGAGAAGCTTGTGTCCTGCGTGGGCAAAATGCCGTGGGTGGGAGCCCACGGAGGATATGGCACAGCGTGCGCTCGTGCGGTCCTGTGGCATCCAGGCCCCCTGAGCTGCCCTGACCGCAGCCTGCCCTGCATGCTGATGGCCGGCATCAGGAGGCTCCAATCTGACGTTTCCAAATCCAGAGCTCACCGTCATTGGAAGGTCCATCTCGTCCACATCCAGCAGGATATCTCGGGGTCTGAAGAGGTGCGCCGCCATGATCAGGGAGAGCAGGAAGAGCAGGGTCACCACCAGGAAGGCCTTGCCCTCCGGGAGTGTGACTGATTTTGCAGGGCGAGCGCTGCTCGTGCGCGGCAGGGATGTACGGGAGCCCCGACGCGAGAGGGAGCCTCCACGCTGCGCAGTCCCATCATCCGAGCTACTTGCACGGGAGGCTTCGACTCCATGCCCGGAGTGCGACGGGTCGGCGCCCTTGCTCGCCTCTATGCTCCGTGACGTTTTCATCCGCCCGTCGCGCCAGGCGACGCGGTCGCTTTCAGGGAATTGCTTTCAGGGTCCAACAAAGGACCCGGGACCACGTGCACGACCTTATAATGTACCAAGAGATAATTGGGCACGCCCGTTCTCGCGGGTGGCACCAGGAGTCCTGGAGGGGGGGTCCAGGGCACTCTCGCAAGGTTAGCCCCTTGAGTATCTAGCCATGCTTCGGCTCGCGGTTTACAGAGCGCCGCGAGAGTACACTTGGGAAGAAAACTGGCATCTGCGATGGGGTCTTGGTGAGACTCTGCCATCCCTGCCCAACTTGCGCAGGGTTGTCCACGTGCTCGCCCGTAGGTACTGACGAGCATTCCCCCCATTACACATCTTGGAAGACACACCAGATCCGAATATCTGGCGTCTTGCAGGGATGGGGAAGACATCAAGAGCATATGAAACAAGCAATGGGCTTTTCTGGGGCAGTTATGGGCATCACGTTGCAAGGGAGGCTTTCCTTGGGACAAGAACGGTGGTCTGATTCCAATATACGAGTAAGTTTGCTCGGTTGTGGCCGTGGGTATGTGAAGTCAAGGCTCAGACCTGGCAGAGGTCGGGATGCACCAGCTCCAAGCCGGGTGCGCAGCTTTTGAAGAGTTCGACGGCCTTTGATGCAGCATCACCAGCCACCTTCCTGACCGTCAGGCGGCAGCGGGAAGACAGAGGGTCCAGCATGCCTCCAGAGCCACTTCTGTCGCACACCTGACGCACGCTGGCGCCCGCCAGGGTGCCCATCGCAGCATTGGCACTGAGGATTGCAGCCGTGTGGTTGCAGTGGAAGGGGGGTGGCGTGAGGGCGCCGTACTTGGGTATGTATATGCCCTCCTCCGACCTCGCCCACTTGATGAGCTCTGGGTTGACGTCATGGGACCTGAAATGGTATGTGCGGTGTGGAGCGAAACACACATGAGGATTTGAAGAAGCAAAACACTCTGACATGGTGCGATCAGTAGCCTGGCATATGCACCGTTAGTGGCAGCCTCGAGCTACCCTGCTGGGTCGTCGTCGATCCTAGATTCAGCAGGGATGCATTCATGTCGCCATTTGCTGCTCGGAGCACAGCCAGCCCATCATATGGAGTACATCCATCCACACTGAAAGTGAAGTTGGACACCCGGCTATCGTACCCACCTGAAGGTCTTGGGATGGCTCCCCCCCATGGTCCAATCGTCCTTGGTCAGGCTGCGCGCTCCGCAATTCGTCGCGGCTTGAATGCCATGCACGGCAAAGAGAACCGCAAGATAGTGCTGCGAGGAAGAGCGGGGCACTGTTTTCCATCAGCCTCGGTACCAACTGTCTCAACACTGTGATCGAGACCGCAAGAAAGGTGCAGGCCAGTCCAGGTCAGTCAAAGGCAGGCACTAGACAATGACATTAGCATCACCTCAGGCTCCATACCTCATCCATCAGGCAGAAATGACGATTCCCTTTGTCATCCACGGCGTCGTGGAAGCAGTACCGTTCGAATCTGGAGTGAATGGCAATCGAAAGTACATTGTTGTGATTGTCCTGAGCTTGCAGTCAAACGCCCCAGACAAAAACCACGGGAGCAATGCTGTTGCAAGGGCTAGGCTTCTGGATATGTCAGCACAGTTGGAGGCCAGCACGTGCCAGCCCTCTTAGGGAGCACATCACCTTCTGTAACCCTCACTTCCTCCCACAGCCCAACTCACTGCCTGAAGACGTGCGTGTCTTCCAGGACCACTCCTGCGTGGTCTCGAGTCAGCATGAACCACTGCATTGTCTTCCTCCAGTGCCACCTCTTGAGGGCAGCCGACTCCATGGCTGGCACAAACCTCTCAAATGGTATGGACTCGGATTTGCATCCATCCACGCGTGAGTCCTGCTCGGCCATTAACTGCATGGGAGGGAGGGATGCGAACCAGGATTTGGCTCAAGAGTAATTCCCATTCAAAGAGGGAAGCTTTGCCCTGTGCAGGAGATTCAGACCAGGCAGCCTCCATACCCAGTCTACATAAACCATTCTTGCGGCCCCACTTCCACAAGGGGGAGCCCGGGGGCACCTGCTGATAGAACACGACGGGGCTGTAGATGGGAAGACCGCTCTCGCTGACGAGGGCAAATCTGGGGATTGAGAAAGGCGTATCGTGTATGAGATTCATGACTGAGCATGGTCGCTGCTGGTGCAGGTGAAATCTACAGATGTGAGTCCACATGCTCCACCCTCGCCCGCCAGACCACTGCCCATACTCAAAGTGTGCCGCAGTGTCTGCTCTGCGCACCAAGTCGTAGGCAAGCCCCAGGCCGCACCCCCTCCCACCTCTCGTTCAGAGGATCGCGGTACGCCTCCCACAGCAGGTAGCGCATGGCGATGGACAGCGTGGGGGAGCCCCATGTGGTGGTCGTGCGCCTAGAGATGAGGTGCTTCCGGAAGAGAGGATGCACTTGAAGGACTATCAAAGGTGGGAAGGGATGGAAGGGGGGAGGGGGAAGGGGGAGGATGAAACCCGGGATTTTCCTCACAGAGGGTGCAACAGGCACAGGCACCACTCTGGGGTGCAAGAAGCTCCAGTGCACCATGTAAATCTACCCTGGTGCCGTATTCCAAAACACAAGGGCCATGCAGCACCCATTCAATTTCCTCACCGTCTCGATCAAGGGGCACATGGAGGTAGACAGAGAAGAGGTGTTGGGCGCCGATGATGTCTTCTGGATCCAGCTCTGCTGCCTCCTTGGGTCCTACGCTGCTGTCACAGGCTCCCAGCGGTCCCAGGATGGATCTGTGCCATGCGTCGCAGCCCGCCTGCCGCAGGTTTGCCAATGGGATGTGTCCAGCAGCCGATGCAAACCAGAGGGCCCATGCCTCCGCATGGTGCATCGCGCCTTGAGTGAGAAAGAGTAGAGCCACCTTGGGCACTGCCAGCGCCTGGTCGTAGGGGGGACAGGGGCTCGGCTCCTGGAGAGAATGAGAGTACACATGCATTCGCCGAGCTAACATGAGGAAGACCCTGCTCGCCCTGATACATGCAGCCAGCACACCTGGGCACATGTGTCTGGACTGCTCACGAGGACCTGGGGCGCCTCCAGAAGCGCAGGGTTGGAGATATCGTGGTCCGCTGGGGGAAGACCCCACACGTGATCTTCCACGCCCGGCCCGGTGGCGGTGAAAGGTGGGTCTCGGGCGGGCCGGAGCGACGCGCCCGAGCTGACCAGGCTCGCCCAGGGAATGATGGGCAGGTAATCATGATGGCTCAGGACCTCCAGTCCAGAGATGAAAATCGCACAGGCGACGAGCAGCTTGATAGGGAAGCCCTGCCGGCTTCGCTGGTCTAGTAGCATCGTCGTGGAGGCTGATACGCCAGGCCCCTCCCGGGGTTCAGGAAACCAGCGGTCCTCGAGTCGCCGGTGGGTGCGCTGACGCTCGTCCTGTCGTACCTTGAGTGAGGCAAAATGGTTTGATGTGGGTTTTAGGAATATCTCTGGAAGGAGGCCCAAACGGAGTATGAGAAGGATGTGCAAATCCCGTTGTAAAGGCGGAAGCCGCATCGGAAGTGATCGGAAAGCGACGCGCGAGCCTGTGAACTTTATGGGGTGACATTGTACTGGTAGTTTCCTTTAAGGACAGACAAATGGAGATGTTTGTTATGTTTATAAAGAAGCTAGGGTTGTTCCTTGGCAACAGATCCAGATCTCGAGATGTTAAATTGTTATTGCTTGCTGCAGAACGGAGATCTGTCGAGCGAGTGCGGTACCACCACAGACTGCTGGACAATTCATGTGGTGTTCCGCGTAATAAGGGTCATATATGCTTCGGGGGACAAGGAAAATGTCTATATCAAGAGCATCGGAGGGCTTCCCGATCCGCTTCAGATCGTCACCTATTTCGACGACATGGAACTGCAGTTCAGACAGAATCGTCCCCTTCCGCTTTGAGATCTGAGGTTGCCGCCCAGCATCAAGCAGAGACAGGGTACTCATCGAAAGTGAAGCATGGGTTGGACACTCTGTTGTCGTGCAAAATGACTGCTCCATGAAGGTGACAGACTCGGTCTGGTTTGACATTCTTTATCACTGTCAATGCTACAAGTCCTTACACTGTGATAGCCGAGGTGATCCCAGTGAGGGATCCAAGGGGCATAGAGCGGTAACGAAGTGGTGTATCAGCATGGGAAAGCTGATAAGGAGAATTTGAGCCCTCTGGATGTCGAGATCCCAGTGCAGGCTCTTGAGCCAGCATGGAGAGGGGGGCTAATCTTCAGTCAGCTTCAGGCCCAGCATCGCACAAGGCTGGTGCGATGAGGCCCAGTCCGTTCGCGCAGCTGCGTCGGAAGAGGGTTTCAGCAACATGCGAGGCCGACTCATTGCTGACTTTGCGCATGGTCAGGCTGCAAAGGGGGTCCATGATGGGATAGTACTGGGGCGCCAGCAAGCCGCAGTCCCACTCCCTGTAGGGGTTGTGTGTTGGAGGGTTCCTTGGGTCAAGGCCAGGGGGATGTGGGCGCAGGGTGAGCAGAATCCTTGATGTGCCTCGTGCCTGCCTGCTCAGGTGTCATGCCAGAGCGGTCAGAAATACTTGACTCGGAATGCAACTTTTGTTGCCCCAAATTGCTACCCTATCTCCACAACTGCACCCACCTGTCTGGCTCGTCTCGCTCATATGTGAGATATGCCCTTCGCGCAATGGCACGTGTCTCCTCCACCGGACACTGGTCGTACTTGGTACGGATCTGATGGATCAGGTCGGGCTCCAAGTCCGCGGTTCTGGGAAAATGGGGGTGTAGAGGCAGGGGGTGAGGAGCTTGGTCGGGAGGGACACGAGGTTGGGGCCCAGGTCTGCCTGATAAAGTTGCGGAGCAACAGCGCCACACGAGAGGCCTGTCTGGCGCACCCCAGCTAGATGTCGACTGGGATATTTGCCACTCTCTCGAAGCAAGCAACTCACTTGTATGTGACCGGATGGGCTCCTCCTCTCCACTCCGCCGCAGCAACCCCTCGAACATCGCAATTTTCCGACTGCTGCAGCCCATGCACTGCCAACAACGTGGGCATGTAGTGCTGCAGGGAGGTGAGGGGGATGACAGGGGTTGGCTGTCGCTCTCTGAGCATGGGTGGAGTCACCACACGGTGAGGGTCTGTGGGCCCTGGAACCGATATCTGGCTCGCCCGTCAGTTCCAGCAGTGGCCTCTGTGGCCCTCCATGCCCCCGTCATCCAAGGCCCACCTCGTCGCCATAGCAGCTCCGCGTCCGGTGCACAGAGGGGTCGTACCCCGGGTAGCAGTACTTTTCGAACCTGTGTCGGAGCGTAAGTGCAGAGCATTTTGAGTGCTCTGCTTGACAGCCTGACCAGGAGCCATGCCAGGTAAATCCATGATGGCACAAAGACTGCCCCAATCTGGGCGGAGGAGCACAATCAGAGCAGTCCTTCAACAAACTCACTGCCTGTAGACGTGGGTATCACCCAGGACTACCCGTGCATGCTCCCTTGTCAGAAGGAACCTGGGAAGGGGAGAATTAAGAAGATGGAGTCGTGTTTTCAGGGTGCTGGTGAGAGCGATGGTACACGTGGTAGAAGTACAACCATACACCTTGCACCTAAGAGACCCTCTCACCACTGGGAGGCCTTTCGCCAGTGACTCGTCTTCAGCACCGCCGACTGCATGAGTGTTGAGGCGGAAGGGACCCTCAGCATTGCATTGGACCCCACATGTGGGGAAGGATGTGATGTGTCCGCGAACATACGCCGCAGGCGACTCTGATGCAGGCCTGCCCTCAGCTAGGCACTCACACAACACAAAGGACCCTACCTTTAGTCGCTTGTTCCATCTATACCTATCTACGGAGGAGCTCGGACATGCAGATATCCGGGAGAGCGACTCAGAAATGGCCTGGGAGGGGGCCGCAGGGTGGCCGAGTGAGGAGAGCGAGGAAGTTTAAGCCACTGCACATCCACTAAGCAGCCCGCGTAGAGGGGTGCCATGTTACCAGGTATGCTCTCACCTGATAGTGCATGGTCACGGGATCAAAGAGGGGCAGGTCGCTCTCGCTCACGAGAAGGAACCTGGATGCAGGGCGGGAAGCAGGAGGAGGGTCAGCGCCACCCAGGGCAGCCCACGTGCCGAACGAGGCCGTTGCATGAGGGGCGGCGTGCCTGGCCAGCTGGCCATGCAAGGTACCTCCCTTCACCGCACAGCCACGCGCACCTTTGGTTGGCAGGGTCCTTGAACGCCTCGTGCATGAGCAGGCGGGCCGCATAGACGAGCCGCATGCTCCCCCACTTTGCCATTGTGCGCCTCGGAAGCACGTGGTTGCGGAACAGGGGCGCGATCTTGGTCTCTGCGGTAAGTTGTGAGGGTGCACTTGTGGGCTTCGAGCCACGACGGGGGTGACAGGCGAGGCCTGCAACTCGTGCACCCCTCACTCCTGGGCACACATGCAACCCAGGCACATTCCCGGCGCGGGTGGAGCATCATGGTCAGGGAGCGCCAGCTCACCGTCGACCTCAGGTGGGACATGCACAAAGACACTGAAGAGGCTCTGCTGTGCAATGATGTCTTCCTCTGCCACCTCAGTGCTTGCTAGAACTCCTCGTCCTGCAAGGGTGAGCGGAACAAGAGTGTATGACAATATTTGCAGTGGCAGAGGCAGCCGATATGAGTCTTTCCATGCAGAGCCTGGCTAGCATGCCAGCGTTCACTGAGCAAGTGGATCGTACCTCGACATGCCTCCGGGAGGGTGACTGTGGATCTTGAGCAGCCATGCTTCTGAAGCGATCGTAGCGGGAGGACGCCAGACGCTGACTGGAACCAGAGCCGCCACGATTCATGCAGCCATATGTTCTCTTTTGCAAGGAAGAGAAGTGCAACCTTCGGGACGCCCAGTGCCTGAGGGGCGTGACGACAAGCACAAAGTGTTTTGGATGACACATTTGATGCGAGACTTGCACTCAACGTCTGCCAGGGAGTCTCACGCATCGTCAAGCAAGGCCCCTCTGTCTGCTGCAGTCGGCAACCACCCAAGCAGGGTACCAACCTGTGCGCAATCGTCCCTGCTCTGTTCTTCTGTCACTGGGTCCTCCAGGAGGGCAGGCTCTGCCTCCAACGCCTCCTTAGCAGCGTCCTCAGGTGGTTTTGGAGCCTGCTCAGGCTCTGCAGGTGCGCCGGATGCGTCAGTGTCCGACAAGGTTGAGTTTGTGGGAAATTCCAGGTACAAAGGGGAGACCTGTGGGGGGGCGGTGTGAATGGTCTGATTCTCAAAGCTTGAAAGAAGGTTGCTGCTTCCAATACAAGAGATGGGGGCGTGCAGCCCCGGCCCGTCTGTGCACCATCGGTCAGCCTGGCAATTTTCGAAAGTGACCATGAAAGCCATGCACGGACACGATTCCTGGACCCACCGAAGGATCCGACAGGGGGGACGCCTGATGCCTGATGAGCTCTCCGGCGTACATAATCTCGCTACTCCTGTTGTAGGCCACTGACAGTAGCGCGAAACCCACCAGCAGGCCAATGACGAGTTTCCTCTCGCCTAGCAGTGCCCGGATGGTCCCCGTAGCTTGGGGTTTCACGACCACCTTCTTCATCGTCTGGCAGCGCCCGCTAGGAGCTGAGACGCGCCAATCAGTACTAGAACCAGGGTCTGGGGATGTTTTCCCTCCGATAGCTTCAGCGAGAGCCCAGCGGGTGACGTGCTTGATTCCTCCCACCACGGAAGTCGCCCAACTACTTGTGCGCGAGTGAAGCGAGAAGGTCTCACTTAAGAATGGTTGTAATTGAGCAAGCTCGGCGATATAATGTGCTGGGAATCGTCCAGTCGTGCTTCACGTCGTTTTCTCGCAGTTTGGTTGGAGTTACTCCTCACCTTGCAGAGGCTACTGCCTCGAGAGCTTCACGGTCATCGGCGCAATGGATTTGGCGGCCTGTCTTACACGATCAGCATTCATACATACACAGCATTGTGTCAGGCAGCACAATAGCCCAATTCGTTGGCCAACACCATGGTCGTCCAGGAATGCGCGGTGTTTGACTTGACGGTGATAGGTGTCCGGCCCGCGCTGCGCCGTGCAAGACGCGCAATCCGTACGCGGGAAGGTACTTGTCGTCACCATTCCCGTCGAAGCACATTGCAAAAAGTCATAGTGGACCAAATTTATCCTTCTTGACAGGCATGTTGCTGGCCACGCCATCCTTCACAGTGATGCTTGCTCTGCTGTACGGCGCCAACGTGCCCCCCTACAACCCGCCGGCATGGAATGCAATGGACATCCGGGGGACCCCTACTTCAATGGAATCTGGCATAGACCAGGGTCGACGAGCTGTAGACGCTCGTCGCAGCCGACAAAAACGTTCCGCACTGCCTCCGCGGTCGGTTTTGGGAACTTCCGAGCAGTTAGACTGCACACCGCTGGGAGCTCCTTGCCGGACCGAGTGGCCTCCTTGCGACATTGCGCGTCACTGCAACGATTCCCTCAAGGTTAAGGAGAGGGATGCATCACAGAATGTCGATTGCTTGAGAATTGGCGCAGCCGCGAATGGTGTACACTGCCAACGACAACCCGGATACGACCTCCGCAGATCCACCACCGCTCCCGCCAGTCCCGAATTAAGAGCAGCACTTGCAGTCATCAGCTCCCCACTGGATGCCAGATACCAGGAACCCATTCTGGAAATACCTGAGGGGTTCAAGGGGTCGATTGGCATCCAGGACCTCGTAGTAGGGCTGAGCAGCCTCCATGGCTGCCACGGGCTGACAGGGGTGGCGCGTCCTGATGGCATGCACCAGGTCTGCCGTGGTCTCCTCAGCCCTGATCGTCGTGGTGATAAGAGGGTGCCTCAGCCAGTCCGACGCAGGTGACAGGCATCCCGGGGGGAGGTACCGATGTCCTGCCCAGTCATCCCGGCTGCACAGGGACACACATTGCCATGGCCACTCTCTGCCAATGCCTGCTCGGTGCAGGCTCCTACACCGTCAGCTGCCAGTATCAAACACCCCACCCCCTGCCAGTATCAAACACCCCACCCCCTGCCAGCTCGACTCACGCATAGGAGCGGGGGTGTGCCCCTCCATGCCCCCAGTCCACCGCAGCAACGCCCCACACGTCACAGTTCTCGGTCTGCTGCAGTCCATGCACCGCAAATAGCGTGGCCAGGTAGTGCTGCCGGGTTGCCGAGGTAGAAAGGATGGAGGCACGTGAGGGTGTGGCGGGTGTGGCGCACCAATGGGCAGCTGTCGCAGGAAAAACCTCGCGAAAAACTCGGTGGCAGGTATGCGTGGGCTTTTGGCAGAGCCATTTACGCCCCTCTCCCCTCCCCCCCCCCCCCGCATGAAATACGGAAGGCAAGACAGCCATCATCAGCGCCAGCAACTGATCGGCGCATTGCCGGGGTTCTCATGCGGGGCCCTTTGCTGTGGCTCTGGCTGCGTTGCCCACGGCGCCTGCGGAGGGTGTGCAAGGTGGTTGTGGTGGATGAGCATGGGCCTGCGAAGCTGTGATGCGGCTGCTACACCGCCCCGCATGCCGTCCACTACAGCCGGGTGCGTCAGGGCGTGGAAGAGCTGTAGCTTTGGGGACAAATCGATGCACAGGGAGGGCCTGCAGGGGCTCTGTCTTCGAATGTGATGCGAATGGGGATTGATACGCTGGCGCTCACCAAGCTACGTTTGGCCGGCAGAGGGCACCCCACCACAGCTCTCGGTGGGCCACCGCCCTTGCCTCAGAGCACAAACCGTTTCTATCGAGTGGGTCGCCATCAAGGCAAACCATTGTACCGCACATGGAAGTTCATGTCTTTGAAGTGCCAAACCAGGCGGCGCAAGGTCGGCAGGGGTATTTGCAGCATTGGGATGTGCAGATCGTTCTCAATGTGGCTAGTGAGATGGTTGCCCCCATGCGCGGCATGCCTCGCGGCCTGCTGTCCACAACTACCAGGACCGGAGCACCATGCAGTCCCCTTCCTATGCTGGAGCTCGGAGAATTCCCCAAGCATGTTGTCATCCATCACACATGGCCCCTTCAGGAGGTGTTGAGCCTCCCCCATCCTCATCACAACCAGGGTGTCATAACTTGCAGACACCTTCAGCACGCGAGGGGGGGCCCAAGAAAGCAAGGGCAGACGGGCACCCGCAGGAAGCAGTCAGGGCTGCACCTCAAGACTACACGCCCATTCTCCATTTTCCCCACCACGTCAGACCAGCATGGCCCCCACACGGTGCAGGAAGAGGTCAGAGAGCGCGCGGCGCAGTTCCGGCAGTAGTCGTGGCGGTTTGGTTCGTCGAGACACTACTCCCCTCCTCCCTCCCCCCCCCCCCCCCCCGCCCCATGAAATACATGCCGCTGAGCCCACCTCGTCACTGTAGCAGTTCCTCCACTTGTTAATATCGGGGTCCCAACCGCTGTAGCAGTACGCCTCAAACCTAGACAGGGAAATGGAGACGATGCAGAAGTCACATACAGCACCACATTCAGAACGGTGTCCAAGGTCGGCACGCAGGGCGGGAGGCAGCCGCAAAGATGGGCAGGGATGGGTACAATAGGCGCCCTCTTCCGCTCCCACAAAGCTTACAGGTCCCCACTGCTCACTGTTTGAAAACATGAACGTCCTCCAGCACCACCTTTGCATGCTCCCGCGTCAGCATGAACCTGCATGTGCGCGGGAATGAAAGGATATGGGTCCCCTACTACGATCAAGCTTGTCCCCTGCCCGCAGACAGGCTGCTCCTCAGCTCAGGAGCCTGGACACCAGAGCAATGCTTGAGGTTCGAACACTGTATCACGCATGCCTCACGATGTTGGCTCACCATTGAGAAGCTTTCCGCCAGTGCCTGATGCCCAGCTGGTCGGACTGCGGGGAGCAGGAATGCATGGAGGAGGCATGGCCAATGGTATGGAATCAAATGGTCTCCCCAACTAGAAATGCACGGCCTTATCGGCGAATGACAGCATCACCAGGCACGGTGCTCTGTAGCACCGACCTGTGCCCCGCGCCCTCCACTTTGGTCCCCCCCCCCCTCCAAACCACACGCCCACCCGCATGGCCTTGTTCCATCTGTACTTGTCCTGCGCTGTGGCAGGGCAGGCTGAGGTCTTGGACAGCGTCTCCTGCATCAGCTGGTGGTGGAAGGTGCGCGCGTCGTAGAGGGGGATGTCGCTCTCGCTCAGCAGCACGAAGCGGGTGTTGGCGGGGTCGCGGAAGGCCTCCCAGAGCAGCAGGCGCGCCGCATACACCAGGTTTATGCTGCCCCAGGAGGTCTCCGTGCGGGCCGCGATGAGCCTGTCCCGGAACAGGGGCTGGATCTCCGAGGCTACATAGGCAGAGGAGGGGGGAGAGGGGGGAGTTGGGTGTGTGGAGAGGGTAGTTGAGTACTGCGAGGGTGGCTTGGGATTGTGCAACTAGGCCATGGGACAAGGGAGGGGCCCAGCCAGGGGCCCGCTCAGACATGCAGTGGATCCGGCTCCGATTCAAGGAGATGAGTATACATTGCTGAACTCTTTGCCCCTCCTCTGCACGGTAACCCTTGTCCAATCCGCCACCCCCCGACCAATCACCCAGCTGTCAACCCCCTGCAAGTGTACGACCACCGCAGCTCCCCCTCCCGCCACTCGGCCACCCACCGTTCACGCTGGGGGGTGCATGCACGTAGGCAGTGAAGAGGTGCTGCGCGTCTATCATGCGCTCGTCTGGCAGGTCCAGTGCCGCGGTGGGCCCCGGGCCGGGGCAGCCTGCCCGCACGGCCTCGGAAGCCACCCCGGAGCAGCGGGCGGCGGTGCGGGGGACGACGCCGGCCGCAGACTGGAACCAGAGCCTCCAGGCGGGGCTGAGGTAGAGGTCCCCGCGTGTGAGGAAGAGCAGGGCGACCTTGGGTATGCCCAGCGCCTGTGACCGGGATTTGCATGGGTGGGGATACTGGTCTTGGGAGACGAGGATCTGGGCCAGGATACTGTTACTGGCCGAATGCAAAGGGACGGGCTGGTTTTTGTCAGGCAGCGTTGAAGCCGCTGCATGGGGATTGCAGGCAGTTTCAAGGAGCAAGGTAGTCTTCGATTGTACGGACGCGCAGAGTGACACCATGCAGGCTCAAGTCTCACTAGAAAAGCCAGAGTGTCTAAGATATGCCCACCATCCGTCTTTGCAGTCACCTCAGCACAGGCATCTGGACTACTTGGCAGCGTCTCTGGCGGCACGAGGACTGCGGTGGTGTTGAGTGCAAACGGAACTTTTTGGGGAGGGTCTGGTTCGCTCTCCGTGTCCACTCCAGCCCTCTGTGAGTCCTCGTCCTGTGTGTGTAAGGGTTGAGAGGTGACGTCAGTCAGACATTATGGCAATCTATCCACTCACACAACGGTCTGCAGAAGTCGGCTCCACATCACATTGAGCATCATGCCTTGATAAGCATCCCTCCTGCAGCAGCCAAGTCAGATCCTGAGCCCCAATGCAGTGCATCCCCTCCGGCGCTCTCTCCAACCACCGCTGCCCATTGTCCCTCCTCTTGAAATCTCAATCAATCAGTCACCAGGCCACCTGTCCCTCACCTGCACACTCAGCTTTCCCTGCACATGCATGGATCCTGGGAGGCTTGAGTCCCCAGCCTGTGCGGCATCCAGCTCAACCGTCGCCGGGCGACCCCAGATGACTAGGCCCACCGTCGCCATTCCTATGAAGACCAGCAGCATGCGGCGGAAAGCTGTCCTTGACCTCCAACCCACCAAACCTCTACGGGGGCTGAGCAAAGCCTTCGGGGCCGGCATGGTAGGCAGGCTCCAGGGAACGGCCCTGCAAGCGCTGTCAGGGGGCAGTGGGCGCACTCTCCATGCCAACGACTCTGGAACGTTCCGCCAGAGTCAGAGGAGCGGGCCTGGAATGTCCCTTTCAGAATCCAGTGCCTGCATGGAAGCAGTGGGCGTGGTCCTGCCCTGAGCCATTCGGACGCGTGCTTCCCTGCCGGCACCCAGCTGCCCCGTCCAACACCTGAATCGCGTAGATGCGGCACGCGGCCAGCGTGTCGCCCGAAACCTACATAAACAATGATTGCGCACCATTACTAGTCTATAGCTGATTTACTTGACTGAGCCTCGCCGTGCGGAGGTATCTTCCAGCTTTCGAGTGTGACGGCAGGTGGAGGCTTGTCTGCTCATGCAATCTCAGGGGACCGTGACTCGCAGACCTCGAGCTTACAGCAGGATAATATTTGCAGGACACCCGTCCAAGCACAATTTTCTGCACTCCCAGTGAGCCAGAGGATGCCTCTGGAGTCAAACCCTGTGCCTCGTGATCGCAGGCACGCGCTGTTTGATTCGGCATGGCCCATTTCCACCGTCATCAACCCACCCATGGGGTCCAGCAAAGATAAGCCCAAGAGCTGAATGTTACAAAAGGTAATTACAGATTTTCCATGCCAAGGGAGGCACACCTCCTGTTGTAAAAATGAGAAAAGGAATGGGTTTTCGTTTCTGATATGGAGGGCAATGCCCAGCTCCAGAACTGGGATCCAACGCCCTTTGAGAAGGTGCTCTGGCGCCCCATCCACTGGGACGTGGGCGAATCACGCTGCTCCTAGGACAGCGACTCGCCGCCTTGCTCAGCGTGTGCAGCGCACACGCCGGGGGCCAGCAGGTGGAGGCCGTTGTTGCAGTCCGTGAAGAGCGTGGCGGTCTGCTGGACCACCTCCACCGGGAACTTGCGCGCCGTGACCTTGCACAGCGAGGTCAGATGGCTCTCGTACTCCGGCAGGGGCACCTTGCACAGGCCGCTGCGTGGTGTGGGATTTTGTTTTGGGCGGTGTCTCAGTATGCAAAAGGCCGGGATGGACTTGAGGCAGGGGAACGACCACCAGGCTGCCTCGACTGCATGATAGACCTCATGCAGGGGCACATGGGACTTCATGGCCAGTGGGAGCTTTCTTCCTCAGACTCTTCCCCTCCCCTCCCATTCCCCACCACCAAACCCCCCACACCTGTTGAAGGCCTCGTCCACCTTGACAAACATCTTCTGGGCCGCCTCCCACGCAGACTGGGCATCGCAGCCGTCCTGCGGCGACCTCAGTGCCTCTGTCAGGAGCGCGGGCGTGACGTCCTCTTGGCTGCGGTGAGAAGGTGAGAGACTGTGGTGAAGGGTGGGCATAGACATACTCAGGCAGGCTGCAAGAATCAGCGACTTGGACCTTTGATGAGACTTGGATCGTTGTATCCCAGAATGTACCCTGGAGCAGCATTCGAATCGCAGTGCTCCAACGCACACCCTGACACACCAACCTGTAAGACCGGGGGTGGGCACCGCCACTCCAATTTGTGGCGGCCACGCCCACCGCGCCGCAGTTCGAGTCAGTTTGGATCTTGTGCACGGCAAATAGGGTCGGCATATAGTGCTGCAGGGCAGGGAAGAAGGGGGGCCGAGGGGGTTGCTGCGTGCACGGTGAGCCGGAAACTGCACCCTTGGTCCCACTCACCCTCCCTCCACAGCAGACCAATGAAGGAACCCTAAAACGAGGGTCAGTACAACAGTTCCCACCTCGTCGCTGAAACAGTCCCTCCAGCGTCGGTAATCGTTGTCCCAGCCGTACCAGCAATGCTCCTCAAATCTGCCGAGGTGTGACAAAGCGGTGATTTGGCTGGGGCGTGGTGGAAAAAGGGCGCCTGACGCGCGACACAAGGTGCCATTCTTGATACACACGCGCGCCATTGTACACAATATTCGCAACGTCAAGCCCGACGAGCAATGTTTACACACAAGCCCCAGTTTCCATGCTTCTGTGACCAGCCAAGCGATTGTCTTCATTTGCAAACATTTCCCACACCCAGCACGATTTGTGCCCCCTTTCACGCCTTCCACCCGGCTCACCTCCTGTAGACTTCTGTGTCCCCCAGGACCAATTCGGCGTGGGGCCTTGTCAGCATGAACCTGTGGCCAAGTGCGACGTGGAAGGGAGGGTCATGCACCTACAATCAGTGAGGGAGGAGCATTACAGCAGGAACCCTGACAATCACCCATGTGTGAAAGTGTATACATTCAGGACCAATGGAAGGCCGAGTACCCTCTCTTCGTGGTGCCCTGCAAGTCCACTCACCACTGTGTGCTCTTCCGCCAGTGGTACGCCTTCAGGTTTGCGCTCTGCTCGACGAGGGATGCATGAAGCCGGTGAGGCAGTCTCGCCCATAAGTGGCCATGCAGGGTTGGGTGACACAGCCTGTATCCCATGAGACATCACCTCCATGGGGCCAAACATCCTGATTCCCTCTTTCTCACCCTCATCCGCCACGTCCAGCGTCTTCGGTCTGTGCGGCTGTGGGCGCAGCCATTGACGCGTGAGCCCTCCTCGCTGACGAGCTGCAGAGTGGGGAGGGGAGAGCGGCAAGGCATTGGAACGTGAGCGGGGCGGATGGTGGCGATAGAGTGTACTGACGTGGGCATGAGGCTTGAGATTGAGCATTGGTTCCCCGATCAACACCCGAATCAAGCAGGTTCACGTCAAGGACAGGAGTGCGCTGGGGCCCCGTACCACCCAGGTGGGAAGCAGGGGCGCCGTTTCCGATCCCCATGTGACCACACTCTACAACCCGCCCCCCCCCCCCCCCCCGGACCACCCACCTGCTGGTACATGGTCATCGGGTCGTAGAGGGGGATGTCGCTCTCGCTGACGAGCATGAACCTCTGGTTGGTGGGCTCCTTGTACGCCTCCCACAGCAGGTTGCGCGCGGCCTCCACCAGGCCGTGGGACCCCCAGGCGGCGTCGATGCGCCTGCTGACCAGGCGCCCCTGGAACAGGGGCGGCAGCGAGCTGTCCTGCACCCCGGGCGGCGCGTGCACGTAGACGCTGAACAGGTGCTGGGCGTCAATCACCGCCGCGTCGTCGTCGCCAGCGCCGGGCCCGGCCAGGGCCTGCAGGGCGCAGAGCGTGCGCGCGTCGCCGCCGGGCGCGGCGCCGGGGGCGCAGGCCGCGGCGTGCGCCGGCGCGCGGGGCAGGACGCCCGCCGCCGACTGGAACCAGAGGCGCCAGACGGCGTGGTGGAAGAGGTCGCCCTTGGTCAGGAAGAGCATCGCCACCTTGGGGATCTTGAGGGCGTCGGCGCAGGCGTCGCCGCTCCTGCTCCAAACCTCGGCCGGCGGGAGCTCTGCGGGGACGAACTTTTTCTCGGGCTCCCCTGCGAGCGGTGCGGCGAGAAGGGGATTGAGTGAATCTGAGGATTGTGTTGAAGGGATTCCTAAGGGATCTGCAGTCTCCGACAGATGAGAATAGGAAGGGATTTGGAGATGAACCCTCCCTTCATCACACCACTGACATGACCGCCCCTCCCCGAGAGGGGCTTCCCAAAGGGGAGCAGGACACCAGAGCTGGGACCTGCAATCCCTGAGCACCCTCGCCAAGTCACTTGACCCCCCGCTCGACGACCCCACTCCAGCTGCTCGACCATTTGCGACTGGGGCTCCCTCCCATCCCACCCCGGCCCAGCTGCATCCGACCCGACGATCCTGACTGCAATCCTCACCCTGAGTGTCCGCAGCCTTGGCTTCCGTCGCATTGGTGCTGTTTGCAGGCACCACCACCATCCACTCCCGGATGGACTTGGAGGTGGAGTTTGTGAACTGGCTCAGCGTCGCCACGATCGAATCCGCCAGTGAACTTGCCGTCGTAGGAGCGGGGCCGTTTGAGAACTTGCCCGACTCCACTCCATCGCTGGTGGCAGCATCGGCAGGGCCGGCCAGGGTCCCCACCTGGCGATCGTGGACGAGGCGGCTTGTCGTTGCATACACGTGGGAAAGAGCATGGGGCATGGGCAGGCCTGCCATCCCATGCAGCACATGGCATGCTCACTCCACCCGCCCAGCTCTGGCAGAGTAAGCCAGATGCGAATCACCGGCACCCGCTTCTCACCTGCAGAGTGGACCCTTGACCGGCGGCGGTCACCACCTCGACTCCAGAGTGCGCCGTGCCCATCAGTTTGGCAACATTGAGGCTGCACAGGACGAGGACCGCGAAGAGGGCCGCTGCACACCACACCCGGTTGCTGTACCACTTGGGGGTGGCAGCCGGGAGGGCTGCCGAGGGCATCTCCGAGCATGAGGCACTGGCGGGAAGGCGCGCATAAGACGCTGCCCGGGAACTCAGGGTCTTGCCAGCAGCGCGTTGTGGCGTGGCGGCCGCAAGATCGGGACCACTCTGGCTAGATGGGCTGCTGTCGCCAGAGGTGGAGGCCTGGCGAGGTCGGGCCTGCATCGCGTCCTTTGAGAGCAGTACTCCGAGGGTTCAAAACCTCGTGCGGGGTCAGAAGCTACGCTCCCCACGGGTGGGAGGCCCCCAGCGCCTCACTCTTTGCCTAAAAAGTGCTGTAATGAAGCACTGCTTTCTTAAATGCCTAGCAGCGCTGCGCTCGGACCGCGAAGCGCTTTGTTTTCTGTCGTGCCGTCCGACGAAAGGGAGCAGCGCTCCACAGTCAGGGCTAGATGCTTCGATCGGACCCACTCCCTGAAGTATACAAGTAATAAAGGTGCATGGCACATCAGAGAGAGAGAGATCCGGGTGTTTCTCCACGGGCCCAACAAGAAGCTGCAGCGCGTAGTATGCTTTTTCTCCGCCCTGACCCATGTGGGTTCCATGTGCGTGCCAAATTCAGCGGGGATGCAGCTGCCGTCGTGTCATTTCCAGGAGGTAGTTTTATTGAACAACCAACCGACTGTGGCCTTTTTGCTCGCCTTGAACTCTTGCTCAAACGGTGCCTTCTCATCATTGTAAGCATTCCCCACCGAATTCACACTTTGGGACTTCGGACTGACAGCCCTCTCAAACGCTGTGAATGGAGCTGCATGTGAGGCTTGAATGAACAAGAGTATATTCTGCTTCCCCTCTACGCTGTATGCTGGCAACATTGGACATTGATAGTCAGGAGGTATCAATTTTTCGAAGGCTAGGGACCCTTGCTGAGATGATGCTGGAGCATGGTGTTCATGGTTCACCGGGTCGTGCATGTTGTGTACAGCAACGAGAGCCTCTGAGACCCTCACACCATCGTCCAGAGCTTCATAGGTGCTATGCATCTCAGTCTTGGCTCCAGCACACCCCTTCCACGGTATTGCATCATCATCTTGAGGACACATCTGGCTTTGTGTACAGGTCGATTCTGTTGGTGATTGCCTACAGAATTCTACAGGGAGGAGCATGCCCCATCATGGCAGGAATACCAGCGCCGTCATTGCACTCAAAGGCTTCAAGCCTTCTGCGGACCAGCCCAGATTTTCTTCACGGTCCCGCCAATGCCGTCGCCTGTGAGAGAGAGCTTCATCAACCCAATGAATGTGACGGCCGAGAGTCCAATCACGCCTGCCCTGGCTGGGAGCTGCAGAGCCTTCGGAACGTAGTCGGTCACCACTGTTTGTGGGAGAGGTCCGGGAGAGGGGTTTCGACCACGCGTCCAAGGCACAGCCGGGAGGCACACTCCCCCACACCCACAGAACGCATGTGGACCTGGGATGAGCACAGCAAGACTTCCGCAATTAAACCCAGACCCTGGTACCAACTCCATTGAAGCAACATAATTTATCTCGGATCTTGAGCGGGCGCGCTGCGTGCTGTTCCACTCACCGCTGTTCATCGCAACGTGGCTGTGGAGAGGGAGGACTGCCGCGAGACCCACGTCCGCGAGCTTGGCTGGGAAGCCATCGGACGGCAAGGCCAAGGTAGCGGGGACGAGGCCCGCAAGGGCAAAGTGAGATTTATGGAATAGCTTATACAGGCCCTTGGAGGTGTCGGCATACACGAACCCACTCGCCATGGCTTCTGTGCTGACGTGCCGGAAGCCTAAGTGACAACGAGCAGCCCAACCGGTGGATCCTATCTAACGCACGAGGTGGTTCCCTCAGACTTTGCGGTTTTTATTCTCAGTGAGTTCCTCAAGGTCGTTTCGCTCAACAAGGGCGAGAAAAATGACTGATGTTCCAAAATTCCCGCCACGACAGGAATGGGGACAGGGCTCTCCAGCATGTACTTTTGGTGTATGTTGCAAATGCAAATGTACAATGTTTCTGGTTTCGGGGTCTTGAGCCAAATCCATCCGGGCTTTTTAGGGGAATCCGTTCAACAATGTTTGTGATCGTGCTGTGGCACCCAGGGAATGGGGCTACCTGCGGCACCGATCCGTCACACTGCATCCCTTTCGAATGATGAGTTCAATGCCATTTAACGCAATAATACAGCGAGTTGTGATGAGGACTCTGCGTGGTAGGAGGCTAGACCAAGGACAGGATCCGAAACGAGGTGGAGATCACTTCGAGAGAAACCCTTCCGCTGTGAAAGCAAAATCTACCGAAGAGGATGATCGAATGCATAATTGGGAGCATCCTCATGTTCATATTGCCAGCCCCTGTAGGATTTTCCGTCCACCACTGTTTACTCCTGGTGAATACATGCAAATCCGAAATCACAGGTGCGTGCAGCCACTGAACAAATCGTCCACCGACAGCGACAGGACACAGTTCAGGGAGTCCAAAGGATGAATCCGCATTCACTTCTGCCCAATACGAATATCGCCTAGTCTCTGCATCATGGCCACGGCCGGTCATGAGATTGGTGACCCTTCCGACTGCCTGCGAGCCCATTGGGGACATGCCGAGTTTCGCTCTCTGCAGCGCGAGGCCGTCGAAGCCACGTTACAGGGAAGGGACGTCCTGGTCATCCTTCCCACTGGCGGCGGCAAGTCGGTGACATTCCAACTTCCGCCTCTGGTGGCTCGGGGGGTCACCATAGTGATCACGCCCCTCCTGGCCCTGGCCCGGGATCAGGTGCAGGCCGCTCTGGACAGGGGCATCGAGGCTGCCATGTGGGCGGGGGACACGTCGGACACCGCCCGGGCTAGCATCAGATCCTCTGTGCTGGCCGGGAGGGGTGATGAAGGGGGTCTGCGCCTCCTGTACACCACACCAGAGAGCCTCCGCACGCCCCCCATGAGGTGAGCCAGGCATGTTGAAGAGGGCGCTGCTGGCCGCTCTGGTGTTTAAGAAAAGATGAGGATAATACGAGGTTTGGGGGGGGGG